GAGAGCACCAAATGATGGATAGTCTACCCGGGGGTATATATCCGAAGGGTTATTACGGGGAATAACTTAGAGAGAAGTCAGAGCAAGCAAGTAAAAGTAGAGAGAGAGTGTATTGAGTATGAATGCCGTTTTCAGCGTGGTTACAAATGGGGAAATGGGGTGCTATTTATAGTAGCAATAAATGCCGGGCAGGGACACGTGTCAAGCGCTCATTGGCCGAGGGGTCACATCAACTGGTTGGCGCTGGCAGCCGCATGTGGCCGCATTTAATGCGGCTGTTGGATGGGACGTCTGTGCAGGGTACGGTGATCTGTACGCATGTGAGGCGGATATCTTGTCGAGTGAGATGCCTTCGGCCACAGAGCAGTAGCCGAAGGCTCCTCCAACCGAGGGCACCTTGGTGCCGAGGGCTCACAGTACCGAGGGCTACTGTTTTCGCCGTTTTCTCCCAGTTTCTTAGTTTGCTTGAGAAACCCGTTCTGTGAGAGTTTAGACCCTTCGGCCAGGGGGCCGAAGGCACCCCTGGCGCGTAGTGCGGGCTGCTTGGTACTCTGGGCGATGTGATTTGGGCCTGTTGGGCCTTTTGGGCCTGTTGGGCCTTCGCTGGAGTAGTAGGAGTCTGTGGGCCGGGGGTTCCCGGGCCATATACTCCATCATATCTATTTCTCAAAAGTAAAAAATTCTTTAACTATATATATATAATCACAATAATAGTTATATAGAGTTGCTTTGAATTGTATTTCAAGTTCTGATTTTTAAAATATTGAAAACATTAGGAGACTACAAATGATAAACAATACAAAAAAGGTCAAGATTTTCCGCACACAAAGACGGAAAGACCAAACAACACAGATTTAAAAACTTAAAGCACAAAATGTTAACGTTTTATTTAATCAATCTGACTTGTAACTTTGTATGTAGTGTGCCTTTGAAAAGATATTACTTTCTCCGTCCCGAATTGAAGTACAAACTTTGATCTGCACACAGATTAAGAAAAGATACTATCGTATAAATTTAAAATGAGTTTACCCCTCCTGAAACTACTTGAGAGGGGAGTAGGATTTTTGGCCGCACTACTGTGGTCTTGAAATAACCCAAAAATCCTACTCCCCTCTCATCATAGTTGGCAGGCTTATTCGTTGATTGCTTAATATGACAAAAAGTAATGGACGAAAAATATTTCGCCACTTCCCGGATGTCATCTCCTAGTAAACCAATCGAAGAACAGCTAGAATCGTGCACAATCTCCTCAATAGCTCGGGATGCATCTGCCTCAACCTCCACCGAGTTCCTCCCAAATCCCTTAAGCCAGCTAAGAGCCTCCCGGACCCCAATTAATTCTGCATTCAGCGATGTAATTCTCCCCGACCACGGGCATGCAACCCCTGCAATGAATCTGCCGCCATCATCCCGTACGCACCAGCCAAGACCACCTCCATCCGCACGGACTGCCGCATCCACGTTCAGCTACAGACTACCTGCTGCCGGCCTGCACCAAGTGCTGCGTGAGAGTGATTCCCGCTGCCCCTTATTCAGTCGACTCCCCTGTGCTTGAGTCCAACCTTGAACCATGGCTTTTGCTTGGTTGACAACCTGCTGCGCCGAAGAAGCTTTCCCCTGCCAAACATGACGATTCCGTTCACTCCAAATAGCCCAACATCCCAGCACAAGCTTCTCTACATCCTCCTTTCTCCTGGTGCGAAACTCTAAATTAATTTGCTCCATGAAAGATAACTCAGTCGCTCCCGACCAATGCCACGATAACGTTGTCCATGAATCACCAGCGAATGAGCAATGTCGAAAGATATGCTCCGTCAATTCTCTGGCCTCCCCGCACAGCCTGCATGCTCTCGGTCAGTCCACCTGACACCCTTGCAAGTTGTCCCTCGTTCGGAGGCACCCGCTGCACACCTGCCAAAAAAAAATTTAATTTTAGGTGGTAACCGCCACCCCCACATAACCTTCCAATCCACCCCCGAATCTCCCACCTCCCACCTCTCCTACCAATCTCCGATAGCAACTCCTCACCAAAAACTGACCACTCTCCTTCCACCTCCAACATAAAGAATCGGGAATTTTTCTCCGGCTCAAAGGAATCCCTTTAATTAATACCGGATCTCTTGGCTCAAAAATGTCATTGACCAAGTCGAAGTCCCACTCCTGTTGATCAGTTGCAAAAAGATTAGTCACTACCGCTTGACCCAAACCTTCATCGGTCTCCGATAACACCTTCGGATTCCCCTCATCGGGAAGCCAAGGTTCTTCCATATATTGATCGAATGGCCATCACCCACCCTCCAATAATATCCATCACAGATGAGATCCTGTGTCTGAATTAAACTCCGTCAAACAAAAGACGATTATGTCCTAGACCCGCATTTAAGAAGGTACTCTTGGAATAATATCTAGCCTTATAAACTCGTCCCACCAGAGAATCTGGATTAGTGAAAATCCTTCAAGCTTGCTTCGATAACATAGCTAAATCAAAATCCCTGAGCTTCCTGAAACCCATACCTCCCACTTTTTTCGGCAAACAGAGTGAACTCCAATCTTTCTAGCGAACTCCCTTACTGGTTTTACCCTTCCACCAATACCCATTCATAATAACTTCAATCTCACGACATAATTCAATCGACAACAAAAAAAAATTCATCACATAGGTAGGCAAAACTTGAACAACTGCCTTTAAAAGAACATCCCTTCCCGCTTTAGATAGAAAATTATTGTTCCAATTCTTAATCCAACTAATCACCCTCTCTCTGAGGTAGTCTAAAATATCTTTTTTACTTCTCCCTATCAAGGCCGGTAATCCTAAATATTTTTCATCTTCCCCTGCCAGCCCCACACCGAGTAAATCCACTAGCCCCTCCCATTCGCTAGCCCCAACATTAGAGCTGAAAAAATCTTTTGATTTATTAAAATTAATCACCTGGAAGCCCTCTCATAATCATAAAGCGTCTCCTTGATCAGCGTTGCCTCATCATGAGTAGCTCTTAAAAAATAATAAACTATCATCTGCAAAAAATAAGTGAGAAATCATAGGCGCCCCTGAGCAATGGAAACTCCATGTAACCGCCCCATAGACTCATATCAGCGCAAGAGAGCACTAAGACCTTCAGCTACTATTAAAAATAAATATGGAGATAAAGGGTCACCTTGCCTCAAACCTCTCCCAAGCACCGATAACATAATTTCTGTATCATCGAAAGGAATTGAGTAAGTAACCGAAGACACACACTCCATGACCAGCCGTATCCATCTCTCATCAAACCCCAAATTCCTCATCATATCATACCCTCCAAAAAGGCCATTCAACCCGGTCATAGGCCTTACTCATATCTAGCTTAAGTCCCACAAAACCCAATTTCCCCTGCCGTTTACACTTTAGAAAATGTTGAGACTCAACAGCTAACATTAAATTATCCATGATATATCTGCCCGGTATAAAAGCACTCTGCTGCTCAGATATACAAAATTGTAGCAAATGTTTCATACGATTAGCTAGCAGTTTTGAAAAAATTCTATAAATCACATTACATAGGGCAATAGGTCGCCAATCTCCTATAGACTCAGACTTCTCTTTTTTTGGAATCAGAACAATATTGGTATGATTAATTTTTTCTGGCAAATTACCTGAATTGAAGACGTCCTCTCAAAAATTGACGATATCGGGTCCTACTGCATCCCGAAAATGCTGATAAAAACCCGGGCTCATCCCATCAGGTCCAGAGGATTTATCCGGGAACATGTCAAACAAAGCTTTCCTCACTTCTTCACCTTGAATGGGACATAACAATTCCAAGTTGTGGCTGCTCTCCACCCTCCTTGGGACACTCCCAAAAATGAACTCCTCTTGGCCTGCTCCTGCGGTAAATATTTGATCAAAGTAATCCCTAATTATTTTTCCAATTTCCGCCCTATCGTTCTCCCAATGACCGTCCTCCGGTCTGAATCCCTCAATTTAATTTTTCCGTCTGCACTGCTTGACCGAATTATGAAAATAACGAGTATTGAGACCCTCCCTGCAACCAAAATTCCTTGGCTCTTTGTCTCCAGTAAATATTTTCCTTCTCAAGCAGAACAAGATACTCTTGTTTAACCCTCTGAAACTCTCTAATCCCCCGGGAGTCCCATCTATTACGGAGATGCTCCAATCTTCTTTTGCAAAATGTGATCCGTTTTCCATACGAGCCAGACTTCCCATAGCCCCATTCCCCTACTGCTTTACCGCAAGACACCACTTGTGCCATAATACCTGAGTCTCGGCCCAACCTCCAACTGCGCGCAACGATCTCACGGCAATCAGCCTCCCGTAGCCAAACATTCTCGAATTTAAAGGTGCGACGTCGCCGAAATCCTTTGGTAGGAATTTTTTTCATAAGGAGCGCCAGATGATCACTAGGTGCACCTTCTAAGGATTCTGCCACAACCTCCCCAAAAATATCTAGCCAACTTTTGGAAAATTACATTTTAGTCCTTCAAATAGTCACCATATTGAAATGTCAGACATGTGTTTCCAAATTTGTTAATGTCACTCCTCAATTGTGCAAATTGTTGTAAATGTAGTACTTTGAAAGGTGAAATGTGCAATGTGGGCTATAATTACATTTCACCTATTAAAGGACACCATTTACAACAATTTGTTTAATTGAGGGGTTACATTTACAATCTCAGAAATACAGGTCACACATGTTAATATGACGACTATTTCAGGGATCAAAAGTGCGATTTTCCCTACTTAAAATGGAAAGTGGAAAAACATTTTAGGCCCAAATAGGAAATTTTGTAAAACAAATTGGGACAGAGGGAGCATGTGATAAACATTAGTCCCATAATTTTAAATCTTTAAAAATAAAAATACTAAACATAAAACACAATATATGAAGAGATGTAGAAATAGGTTTGGAAAAAGAAAACAATTCCTAGTGAGTTAAATCTTGAAACAAACTAGACCCAATTAAACAAATAGGGCCGGTTAGGTACGGCATAAGGAAATTTCCACTTCATATAGCATAACATATCGAAAAAAAGTATTTGTGAATCTGTTACCGTACGGATATTCTGAATCAGAGCAAAAAAAAAAACAGTAAGATATTCTGATTAACCTGTTTCTTTTTTACCCAGATCGGGTTCATTGCGCTTCAAAATTCAGATGATCAAACCTGAACGGATTAAGGATCAACCTGAAACAGATCTCTTATCAATCATTTTATATAGAATTCCTTACCGTTCTTCTCATCTATACTTGCATAGACGTGTGAGTAGTATACATTTAAAGAGAGAGCTTGAGCTCTGAATTCGAATTAAGAAATTGAGCTAAGCCAGATCACAAATGGATACCTCGCATGGAGGAGGAGAAGGAGGAGGATCTGAAAGGGAGAAGTTCAACTCCACGTCCTCCTCTTCCACCACCCCTATCGCAGCCGTGGCCAGCTTCTGGAAAGGTACGGCTACTCCTGTCAAAATCCATCATCAGTACATGCTTCTCATTATTGCATTTTCATAGCAATTTCTTTTTTTTTATCACAATTGTTACTTGAAATCATCAACAAATCAATCCAAATCTGCTGGTGGACTATTTTCAAGTTTGTAAAGAGGGTAACAGGAGAATCAGTTTTCGTTGTACTCAATCGAGTATGGACATTTGAAATGTGCTGTGAAAATAATCAATATGAAATGTAAGCCTGTTCATTGGTTTATGCAGATTAGCATTTTTCGGATTTGTGGCTTTCTTATTAGTTGCTTAACCAAAACATTTCCCTGTATGTTTGGGAAGCCATTTCATCCAAATGGTAGATGAAGTATTAACAAAAGTCTCACAGGTTTAGATAATGATGAAGAAAAAAACACATAAATGAAATGATTAGTAGCTTTTCGTTTCATCTACCATATCCCATATATGACTTCTTCTCTTGATATAAATTCCCGTAATGTGTCTTTTGATTATCTTACACTATGCTCTTTTAAATCATTTTTATCTCCCACTTGATCCAATTTTCCCAAACATGTCTGTTCATTCATTTTTCCATCATTTGCATGGAGCCAAAGATTCATTATTTTTTGGCTTGAGATTATGATGGAATAAAGCAAAATGGCTCACTAAACTGTCTGCGCTTTTTTCGCTTTTTTTTTTATGAAGCAGCAGTCAGTCCATGCATTTTTAGACAAGATTTTCACTATGGGTCATCCGGAAACAGTCTCTCTGTGCTTTAGAACAGGGGTAAGACTGCGTACATCCGACCCCCCCTTACCCCACCGTAGGTGGGAGCCTTTGCGGCACTGGGGTAAATGAAAATGATGATGTCTGTTCATTCATCTTCAACAAGAACAACAACAACACCCTGCCATAGTTCCAAAAGAATTTGGGGTCGGCTAACATGAATGGGCAGAGTTAAAAAAGAAAATGAGATCAACCCTCCACATGTGTGCTCTCCCTCCACTTCGCTCTCTCCAAAGTCACACTCTCATCCAACCCAAGAAGTATCATATCATTCCTGACCACCGGAGTCCATGTCTATTCATTCATCTTCATCTTCCAAAAATCATTTTATCTTTGTTCAATCATTTTTTCGTCCATCTATTTGGGTCAAGCACACACTCCATCCATATCATTAAATAATAACAACAAAAGAATTTAATTTCTTGTTTGCTATACACTTGTACACTGATGGACTAAAAGAAATGTTTCTTTCCTTACAGCATTTGTTAGTCAATTGAATAGGGGGGAGTTTTTGGTTTCTGTGGTTAATTTTTTTGTTTTGTCTGTTTACAGAGTTTGATTTAGAGAAAGAAAGGACTGTACTAGATGAGCAAGGTCTTAGAATTGCTGAAAATCAGGAGAACAGTCAGAAAAACCGTCGAAAGCTGGCAGAGAGCACACGAGGTACTACTTTGAAAGATTTCATATGGAAGATCTGAATAATCTTATTCACTGATTAACGTACACCTAGGTGCCTAATAACTTCTTATACTACCTTGCTTTATTTAATTGCCTTGTTATTGATTTTTATTCACCTTTAGTATTACACTCTATCTTGTGTAAACTTTATATCAGCATCGTTACAGATTTCAAGAAAGCTTCGAATGAAGACAAATTGAGCTTATTTAATTCCTTGCTCAAGGGTTATCAAGAAGAAGTTGATAATCTTACCAAAAGAGCAAAGTTTGGGGAAAATGCGTTTCTTAACATTTATCAGAAAATTTATGAGGCACCGGACCCATATCCACTTATTGCTTCAATTGCTGTAAGTATATGGTTGGTCGATTTTCTTGACTCAAATTATCATTCTGTTGATCATTATTTGTTACGTCTATGCAGGAAAAGGATTCCAAATTATCAGAGTTGGAGTTTGCAAATCGTAAAATGAAAGTTGAGCTTGAAGAGTTCCGCATGGAGGCAACTCATCTTAAAAATCAACAGGCTACCATACGGAGGCTTGAAGAGCGCTGTCGTCAATTAGAACAACAGGTTAGTAAATGAATTGGCGCTTGAGATCCCTCCTCAAATAGTGCACTGTAATGCAGTGCTTTACATTTTGTACAGCTATACAAGGGACTGTTGACTTTCTAACTTATGACGTCTAGAAGATTTTGAATTGTGTGATGAATTCATATAACTTGAGCAGCTTATCGATCTTACTTTTTAAATGCTTGTTGTTTGTTATTTGGTTTTCATGAGTAATTGTTGGAACTACTACTAGTTACTTTTGCATGTTATGAGGTCCCATTTTCTGCATTTCAAATGGAATTGATCTGTAATTCACTCACATCTTCTTACAATGCAGATGGAGGAAAAAGTAAAGGAAATTGTGGAGATTAAGCAACGCAATTTGGCAGAAGAAAATCAGAAAACATTGGAGGTTTTAAAAGAAAGGTATCTTGTACTTCCAGTGCTCAGAAACCTATTATGTATGTAGTATTTCTTATTCATGCTATATGCTTACTAACACAGTATGCATAATCATTCTTACCCTTTTATTGATAATTTGATAGGGAGCAGCTATTGCAGGATCAATTACGCCAAGCTAAAGAAAGTGTTTCAAACATGCAAAAATTGCATGAAATTTCCCAGAGCCAGTTATTTGAAGTTCGTGCACAATCAGGTGCAGGGCTGATGTTAATCTTTGATCGTTCATGATGCATTAAGTTTTTCAGCTTTCAATTATATCAGAAATCTCCATATCACCTATAAGTGTTTTAAAAATTCATTGAAAGTGTTTCCCTTGCTGTATACTATGTGAGTAACCCCTTCCTTTCCCCAACTTTATGATTATAGAGGAAGAGAGAGCAGCAAAGCATTCAGAACTAAATCTTTTAATGGATGAAGTGGAACGTGCTCAAGCTCGCCTTCTAAGCCTTGAGAGAGAAAAGGTTTGACACCCGGACTGTGTATTAATGTAGATACAATGGAGTAGCTTCAGTTACTGGCTATACACCCTGAATAGATGGCTACTCTGTTTCCTTGCATCACATTTTGGTTGTCATTGACCTGAATAGTGAACTTTGTCTGATATGCTTCATTTATTTTATTTCTATGTGTTGAAATATAAACTAGAATAATATTGAAGATGAAGAGAAGAATTTTCCGTGTGTTTATTGAACGGTTGAAGTCCCTGTAAATATATATTACAAGATAGAATATTCCTATAAGATTCTATAGCATAATAATATCCTAAAGTATATTTCTAAATATTCCAAAGCATATCCTACATTCATTCTAATATATTTCACACCCCCACAAGTTGGAGCATAGATATTTATCATGCCCAATTTGTTACACAAATAATCAACTCGAATCCCTTTTAGTGCTTTCGTGAATAAATCACCAAGTTGTTCTTCAGTCTTCACATTTTCAGTAGAAATCAATCCCTTCTGTATCTTCTCTCGAATAAAGTGACAATCAACCTCAATATGTTTTGTTCTCTCATGAAATACCAGATTATTCGCTATGTGTATAGCGACTTGGTTATCACACCACAATTTAACAGACATTGACGTCTTCAATCCGAATTCACTCAATAAATGGCTTATCCATATGATCTCACATGCAGATTGCGCCATAGCTTGATATTCTGATTCATCACTCAAACGAGAAACCGCATTTTGTTTCTTACTCTTCTAGGATACTAGATTACCACCAACAAAGACGCAATAGCCAGATGGAGATGTTCGATCATCTTTAGAACCGGCCCAATCAGCATCTGCAAAGCAGCATTCTATTCTCATGTGATCATGGTTTTGATAAACAATATCTCGTCCTGGTGCTCCCTTTAAGTAACATAATATGTGTTATACAACAGCCCAATGATCAATGGTCGGAGATGACTTGTATTGACTCACTACACTCACAGAGTAAGCAATATTTGGACGAGTGACTGCAAGATAATTAAGCTTTCCAACCAATCTTCTATATCCTTCTGGGTCTTCAAATGGCATGCCTTCTTGAGTGAGTTGCACGTTGGGAACCATGAGAGTATTGTTTGGCTTTGATCCCAATTTCCCTGTTTCAGCTAGCAAATCAAGTACATATTTTTGTAGAGATAAAAATATGCATTTCTTACTCCGTGTTACTTCAACACCCAAGAAGTATTTCAATGAGCCTAGAATTTTTGTCTTGAACTGGCTATGAAGAAAATTCTTAAGAGCCGAAATACATGCATTATTACTTCACGTAATCACAATATCATCAACATACACCACAAACAATGTGATACTTGCATTCGTTCGTTTGTAAAAGACAGAGTGATCTGATTTGCCTTTTATCATTACAAACTGCTCGATTGGTTGGCTGAGTTTCCCAAACCATGCACGAGGACTCTGTTTCATTCTTTCAGACCATAAAGAGACTTGCGAAGTCGACAAACTTTTAGAAATTGCTCTAAATAGGAGCAAGAACGTTTTGAAATTCCAAAATAGGAGTATCATGTTTTTTATTTCCTGAATAGAAGTAATCTGCCAAGTTTGGAAAAAATGCCATGTTTTAAAGCCTAGTAATGCCAAACTTGGCAAAAAATGACTCCTATTCAAGGAATAAAAAACATTATACTCCTATTTTGGAATTTCAAAACTTTTTTACTCCTATTTAGGGAATTCATCCACAAACTTTACCATACTCCCCCCCGAGCAACAAACCCCGGAGGTTGCTGGATATAAACTTCCTCCTGAAGGTCACCATGCAAGAATACATTTTTAATGTCCAACTGATGTAAGTGTCAATCATGAGTTGCAGCGAGTGAAATAAGTAATCTGACAGATGTTAATTTTGCTACAGGAGAAAAAGTGTCAGAATAATCAACACCATAGGTTTGAGCATAACCTTTCGCAACTAATCGGGCTTTCACCCGAGCAACAGATTCGTATGGGTTTACCTTAATAGCAAAGACCCACTTACATCCAATGGACTTCTTCCCTTTAGGCATGTCTGCCAAATTCCTAGTACCATTAAAATCCAAAGCATTTATATTCTCTACCATGACATGACGCCATTCAAGATGACACAAAGTTTCTTTAACAGATTTGGGAATAGAAATAGAATCAATGGAAGCAATAAAAGAACATGAGGTAGGGGATAACTGATTATACGACACAAATGAAGATATAGGATGAGTACAAGACCGTGTACCTTTACGTAGTGCTATCGAGAGGTCAAGATCTGGTGTAGAGACAAGATTTGAAGATGCATGTACTAGAATATTATTGAAGATATAAACTAGAATATAAAGTAGTTTATATTGAAATATAAACTAAAATAATATTGAAGATGAAGAGAATGATTTTATGTTTGTTTATTGAAGGGTTGAAGTCCCTATAAATATAGATTACAAGATAGAATATTCCTATAAGATTCTATAGCATAATAATATCCTAAAGTATATTCTTAAATATTCCAAAGCATATTCCTACATTCATTCTAATATATTTCACACTATGCCTATTTTTATAATATTGTTGGGTTGGGATACGTACACTCTCCTCCCCACATAATAAATTGGCAAAAGAAAGGAAATACTATATTTTCTAGGCTTCTGGCTTTTTTTTTTTGAAATAAACTTCTAGGCTTCTGACTTTTATAAGTTCGTGATTTTGTCAATCACGAGTATAGACATATGTAATCGAAGGAAAACAGTTCATCGTTACCTTTATACTTTTAACAACAACTATGACAGTCACATTGTTTCTCTTCTACATGAAGTTTCACTATTTCAGAAATTTGGACATGTTCAGGCCCTCTGCCAATATGGTAGATGTAAATTTTATGATATTGATAGGTTTAGGAATTGCTTGCAGAATATCATTGCTAACGTGTATTTCTTGTTTCAAAATAAGAAAAGCTGCATTATATGTGATGCACTTGCAGTTTTTCTGTACAATCAATATAGAGGGCTAATTTGGTCATGTATCATAATGTGCATGACTGCATGTTGACTTTCAAATGTTAATCTTGTAATGGGAAATGCCTACAATAACTAGCTCAGCTCATTTCATGATATTCTTCTTACAAGTGTAAACCCTAAGATAGTTACTGTTTTGAAATTTCATTTCATTTTCTTATGTAAGAAGGTTGCGATTGGAAGGGCATGCGGTGTATATCTTTGCCACTATATTTGTTGCACGGATTTAAAGTTTAAAAGAACTTTAAAGTTAATTGTATCTATGAATTTCATGTGTTGATATGGTGATAGGTCCAAGAGGGGACTTATGATGGTTTATTTTTATGCTTTAGATTGCTGTTGATTTTGCTCTTTATTTGGATAAATCTGAGGGTGATATGCCCTTAATTATATTATGGTTTTATTCAGGGGTTTTTGCGTTCCCAGTTACAATCAGCTAATGAAGATAATGGTGATAAGAAAAGGTGCATTTCTATGATTTGCTTAGCTCTGTACTGTAAGAGTACTTCAGTTTTGAATTATAACTCACAATGTCTTTTGTAAAAGCTCGCTCAGTACTACTCATGCTAGCCTATGGAAAATGTAAACGTACATGATGGCTCATATGATTTAACATATTAAGGAAGAGGAAGATGTTGTGTAACAGAAAAATAAAAATCAACGGGGTAAACCGTTGCCCAGATAATCAACGATAAAAATACCGTTGCCCAAAGCCAAAAGGCTAAAACCAATTTTATTCCAAGATAATAATATTGAACCCTGGCGAGGGGTATAAATGGCCTTCTACAAGTAACCCTAATCAAGCCCAACTGCCCAAATTAACTAAATCCTAATTAGGCCCATACTAACTCTACTAAGTACTCTACTAATAAAAGGCCCAAACCAAAACATAACATTAACTTAATAATAATAATAATAAAACTATAACGACAGCCCTAACTCGACCCACGGAAGTGGGCCCAAGCCCGGTCCGGCCCCATGCTCTTCCCGCTCTCTATCAGAAGAACACCTATTAACACTAAGATTTGGGTTTATCTGGAGGAGTGAGTAGAATAGCTACTCATATTTTAGTTGGCCAGCATGACATCTTAAACTGGATGCTTGGTTTAGATAAAAAAGAAATATGATTTGGGATTATCAGTTTAGGCTTTAGATCCATATTCTAGTCTCTGCAGGAAAAGATTAAAAGAAACATATTCTAGGAATTGAACTTGGAACATGTTGTGGTAGCATGGAAATTCATGGTTGCTGAAATAATTGTATATCCACGATGTAGGAGTTAATGATAATACTTCGATTCACGAAATTAAAAGTTTTAGGTATATAATTCTACGTTTGACAAGTTGCTAGCATCATTGAGTTGGAGTGCATTTGGTGAGGAATATTGTGCCTTTCTGACAACTTATAGAGCAAAACAGGGAATTAAAGAGGAATACTGTCTTCCTCTTTAATGAATCCATTTGCAGTATGCCATTATTTTCTGTCATTTTTTTGTTCGTCTCCCCTGTTCATAATTTGGGCTTACCTAGATGGGCTCGTTTTGAGTGGGTCACACTTCATGATCTAATATCCAGTATCAATTTCAGTGATAATTTAGACAAAAGTAGCATCCTTGAGAATTCTTTGAGCTCCAAGGAGAGGATAATCTCTGAATTAAATATGGAACTTCACAATCTGGAGAGCACCTTATCTAATGAGCGAGAAATGCACATTAATGAGGTGAAGAAGCTGAATGTTCTACTACATGAAAAGGTACATAAACTGTGCATTTGGATATATTTTCTCAAAGCTCGAGCAAATGCACTGCCAACTCACAACAATGCTATAGCAATCTGTTTCTTCATCATCTGTTTAAGCTCAGATTTGTAGTTCACTAGTTCTATGGTGGATTTGAGTTGTTAGACATTACACAAGGCCATTCTCAACTTAAACAGTTTATTTATTTGCTGCTAATAAATAGGAAGAATACTTCACTGACAATTCTAAAAGTAAAAACATAGCTCAATGCCCTCAAGAACATATAAGACTCTTCTGAGTTTTCTCTATTTCAGTACCTGAAACCACCTCTATTCTTCCCCTAATAGAGACACTGTATCTTGTTTACTAATGTTCAGGAAGTTGCTCTTGATGAAATGAAGAAGGAACTTCAAATGAGGCCTACGACGAAGTTAGTTGATGACTTGAAAAAGAAAGTACAAATCTTACAGGTTTGACAGTTCAATTTCTAAATATTAAGTTATTAACTATAAAATAATTTCTTAATCGGAAGCAATACTTTCATTATGTTTCGAGTGATGCTACATCTTCTTACTTGACGTGCCATTACTTTATTGTGTATTTGTTTTTAATTGTTTCGTGGAGTTTTTCTGTGTTGTTCTACATTTTATCAAGTCATGGATGGATCAACCAAACCATTGGTAGCCAATGGATATAAATATTTTCCGCTTCTTTTGCTTTAAAGCGTTAGATAAATGCCGCGTCAAGTAGCAACAAGTTGGGAGTGGTATTAGTAAGAAACACATAGCATTTTTCTTATGTTTTATCATCGATGACGTTGACTGTTTGTCTCTTTGTTTGCTTCATTTCCATCTCTACCTTAATGTTTCATTTTCGCATTAACAATTGCTAGTGTCCCACTACCCCCAGTCTAACTTCAGAGAACTCTATTTATAGGCTGTGGGCTACAACTCTATTGAGACTGAAGATTGGGAAGCTGCTACCAGTGGAGAAGAGATGAGTAAACTTGAGTCATTACTTCTTGACAAAAACCGGAAAATGGAGCATGAGCTCACACAGTTGAAGGTATGCATGCGATACAGGCAGGGGCGTAGCTAGGGGCAGCCAACCTAGGCCCCGGCCCACCCTAAATTTAAAAAATGCCTATATTTTTAGTGTAAAAAATTCCGTGTAATTCCCCCCCCCCCCCCCAAAAAAAAAAATTCTTTTTACCGGCCCAGTGCACTGGCTCCGCCCCTGAATACAGGCTTGTGGATGGGTGCAGCTGTCCTCATTGTAATATTAATTAATAGTATTAGTATTAATTTCATATTATTAGGTTGATAATAGTTTCGTATTGGTATTCTATTAGAGTTAATAATGTCCTAATAGCAACATTGTAATATATCAGGACTCTAATTACTTGCTCACCAAGATTTATGAGTAATATAATAGGGGTTTCACTTCATTAAGTTTAATTACATCAGGCTTTAACATGGTCGAGAATCTGGATTTATGCTACGGACAAATGCTAAAAAATCTATGAATAGTTTTATTACTTGTATATGTAGTTAACTCATTCCTTTGCTTTCAGTTTAAACTTTCAGAAAAGGCATCATTACTTGAATCAGCTGAATCCAAGATCGATGAATTGACTGTAAACGTAAGTGAACAGCAAAGACTTATCCAAAAGTTAGAGGATGATATTCTAAAGGTATGCATCATTGGTATAAATCTAATACTTTCCTTATGGTGTATCTTTTTGAGCTATTCTACAATTTTCTAAAAGAGTGGCAAGTTGGCCAGTCTAAGTCTCGGAAACCTAGTTGTGGAAAAGCGTTTTTTGTCGTTTACTATTACGTTAATGATTCTACAATGAAATATCTGTAAAAGAAATTAATATCCGGAAATATCATACAAATTCTAATTTACATCTGGACAAGTAAAATAAATGATAAAAAGCAAATCCAACAAATTTTAATATTTTTTCAATCAATATGTGGTTTTTTAAACAATAAAGAACTACACATACAAAACAGCACATCATTGGTTTTTACGATTAGATACAACAAATTCAGTGCTAGTAAACGTAATTTTTAAAATTTCAGAAAATCTGGTCTAAATAAAAATTTGTACCTTTCTCTTTCTTTTGATGGTCATGTTAAGTTAATTGTGCTTTCACATCTAGGCATGCTTTGGCATTTCCTTTTCCCACTCTTTTTTAGTAAAAAGATTACTAGTTTGGAAGGCATTAGTTACTCACTATGGGTGATGGTAAATTAGATTTACTTTAGAGACCGTTCGTGCCTTAAACTACGTGCATTTCGGAATGGAATGGCAGTTTCAATATCGTTAAATCCATATTGGAAAAGGCTAATCATTTGATTTGTTTTTTTCGCTGGGCTAGGAAGACTCCACACGCCTTGTTTGAGTATTAGAGTCTGAGTTCGGTTCTTGAAGTGTGTAAGCTTGTGCTTTTGTTAACACCACGAGTTTAAGATGGTTCAGCTAACCCTACATCCACTGCCTACATGGTTTTAAATGACATTTAAGAGGCGCACTTCGAGGCATGCATCAAATTGAGGCATTTAAAATAGGTACTGAGGTGTACACCTCTATTGCAAGAGGCCTAGTCCACAGAACAGTTGAGGTGTATACCTTGAGGCGTGGGCTTCAAGCCGCAGGCTTCGCCCAAAAAACCTAATTTTTTTGCCAAACATTCTTCTTAGATCTGTAGAAAAATGGGTTCAGGTAAGGCTTTTTCCATTTTTTGCCCATTAGTGTGGCGAGGTCTGGGACAGTCCAATAAATTACAAAAACCCGTACTGTTCCATGAGGTTTCAAACGGTTCGGTACAGTAGCGTTTTAGGTTTGGAACCTTTTGGTAGTTGGTACCATAGCCTTTTGGTTCTGTATGGACAATACCATACCAATACTAATAAATTTGGAAAGAAATTCTTCAATCTCTAGTTCTAACCGATACAATGTATGTTTTCAACTTTTAGGAGAATCCCTTTATCCTAAAATCATGTTACCAAAATAAAGGTGAAATAACTCACATTCTTATTATTGATGTACTCCGTATTAAAGGATTACAACTATAGCCATATTGATAGCTACCGTTAAGGCTAACTACACAAAGTGGGCGGAGTCCAAGGCAACCAAAGTTAGGGTTTCAACTTTCAACACTCCTCCTCAAGCTTATGACTTATTTTTATGTATGATTACTAGGGTTAGGGTTTCAACACTCCCCACAAGCTTATCACACATTTTTATGCATGGTTGATAATATATTTTACATTGCTAAAGGAAGTTTAATACTATGTATAAAGTTTGAGGCTTACACCTCAAACTGCCTTGAGACTGACGCCTTGCACGGTAAATGCCAAACACCTCAAGGCTTCAAAATGCCTTTTAAACATTGGCTGCCCGAAGTCTCCTCCAGCTTGATTTAGAAATCTACGAAATTGTCTGACCTCGTCAAAGCTCAATCATAGCACCATAAGCAATTTAATAAACAATCCTTTCCAATATGGCTCTTAAAAATTTGCAAACCTATCTTCAACCTTTACAAAAGAATCAAATAGTTAACCTGCATTTACTTAAGATATTGTTAGTAGTATATTATTATATGTTAACATCAAAACAAGGAATAGGAAAATAGGAGCAGATCAAAGCTAATATAAGACATCTAATGGGTGTGGCAATTGCTGGATAACTTGCCAAAGCTAAAAGTTCTATCTTCATCTCAAGAATTAGTATATTACAAATGCTTGTGGTGATCTACTTTGAAATTTCTATGTTTTTCACTTCAAGAAACTTTGCATTTTACTTACATGCAGGGATACAGTTCAATACAAGAAAAGAAGAGTATGGTATTTGATGATTGGGACCTTTCAGAGTCTACAAGAGCAGAGCCTTCTGATGTACGCTTGCTTACTTTTCTGGTTTCCACATAAGTTCTTGTTCTCCACTTGTTATAAAAGACCGTTATATTTAGTAGATTACTTTAGATGAATATGATACTTATGTACAAAGCTCCGAATAGCATTTGGTGGATAAGGGGAGGGAGGGGTTATTTTTTGTTTTTTTTAAGTAAGAGAATCATAATTCCTCTGTCTGAAGTTTCTGTTTAGTCTTTCCTGCAAATATGTCCACTTTTCTTTTTGGACTATCCTAGCTTTCATATTTTCCTACAATCTCTTTGTGTGACCGTGTACATCCGACCCCCCCTACCCCACCGCAGGTGGGAGCCTTTGTGGCACTGGGGTAATGATGATGTCATTCTATTGACTGACATGTAAACCTATTTACACAAAAGTTATGGGCCCATAAAATGGAATGGAGGGAGTATATGGTTTGTGGTAATAATTAATTACAAGGACATTGAGTTTATTGTGGTAATGGATTATCCATCAACACCCAGGCTCAATGAAATAAACAGTGAAAGAGCCTCGTCTCGCTGATTTGACCAGACCAAGGAAACTTGGAGAGGTCGTGGCAATCTTTTCCCGCCTCAGCTCCCAAACAAGTCCAGAGAAGCCAGAGCATTGGGCCTAGGAGGTTCGACGAGGCAGAAGGAACTAACTTCCCGCCTCAGACTCTATTAGAAATGGAGCAAGGTAGAAGAAGAGAGTGAAATCATCTTATTGAAAAATAGAAAGTGTACAGAGTATTTATAGAAGCTATAGTTGTAACTAACTGCAGCTAATATAACAGAAGCCCAACTAATACTAATTACAAAGCAATGTACGTGTAGCTTCTATATACTATTCCTAACATTCCCCCCTCAAATTGAGGGTGATTGAACTGGAAAATCAATCACACTCAGTTTGTCTTTGAACTCAAGAAAAGTGGAAGCAGATATAGGCTTAGTCAACACATCTGCAATTTGTTGGGAGGCTGGAATGTGAAAGACTTCAAGCTGTTTGAGATGAACTTTCTCTCTGACAAAGAAAAGATCAATTTCCATATGTTTTATGCGAGAATGTAGGACAGGATTGTGAGCTAGCTGTACAGTGCTGAGATTGTCACAGTAAATTCTTGGAGTGATAAAAGGGGCTTGAAGTTCTTTGAGTAAAAATTGAACCCATAAAAGTTCTGATGTAGTGTCTGCTAGGCTTCTGTATTCAGCTTCAGCTGAAGATCTTGCTACCCTCAGTTGTTTCCTAGACCACTAGGAGATAATATTAGAGCCTAGGAAAATACATGACCTTGATGTCGATTTTCTGTCTGTAGGATCTGATGCCCGGTCAGCATCACAGAAAGTTGAGATTGGTAGAGGTATTTTTGTCAAGGGAAGAGGTTTGATGATCAGTCCATGAGTAATAGTTCCAGATAGATATCTCAGTATATGCTTCACAGCTTTCCAATGGTCTTTTAAAGGATTACTCATGAATTGACACACCTTATTTACAACATAGCTAAGTTCAGGTCTGGTTAGAGTAGCATACTGCAGAATTCCAACAACAGATCTGTAATGAGAGGGATGAGGAAGAGGGTCACTTCCTTCATTAGTGAGCTTACAGGTACTCACCATAGGTGTTTTCACACCCTTAGAATCTGTCATTCCAACTTTGTGAAGAAGATATTTGATGTATTTGGTTTGTGAGAGGTGCAAACAACCATTAGGAAGCTTTTTAACTTGGATTCCTAAAAAGAAATCAATATCTCCCAGGTGTTTGAGAGAAAAGGAACAGTGAAGGGTTTGAATGATGTGTTGGATAACTGTGGAATTATTGCCAATGACAAGAATGTCATCAACATAGATGAGGATGTAAATTTGGATCCCAGGTTTAAGATATATAAGAAGAGAAGGATCACTCTTACTCTGTTTGAAACCAGCATTGTATAAGACTGAAGTGAGCTTGTGAAACCAAGCCCTTGGAGCTTGTTTGAGGCCATATAAAGATTTATGTAGTCTGCAGACAAGGGAGGTATCTTTGGTCTGAAAACCAGGAGGTTGTGACATGTAGACCTCTTCCTCAAGGTCCCTTACGGGAAGAAGAGAAGGCAGGGTGTTAGATTTCGCTTTGGGACATGGAATGTTGGCTCTCTTACGGGAAGATCATCTGAGATAGCTGAGGTTATGAAGAGGAGAAATATCAGCATAATGTGCATGCAAGAAACTAAGTGGGTTGGAGAAAAGGCACGCGAGATTAATCCTGGAGGTTTTAAGCTTTGGTACTCGGGGAGAGAGAGGAACAGAAATGGAGTAGACATTATGGTGGCACATGATTATGTTGACGGTGTGGTTGAAGTGCTTAGGAAGAATGGTCGCATCATGAGCATTAAGTTGATAATGGGGGATGAGATTGTGTCCGTGGTTAGTGCCTATGCACCACAAGTGGAATTGGATGCATCTATCACTCAACAATTTTGGGAGGATCTTGAGGAAGTGGTGCGACGAGTGCCAAGGGGAGAGAAACTGGTCATAGGAGGCGACCTCAACGGGCATGTGGGCCCAAGTCGTGATGGTTTTGAGAGTGTCCACGGCGGACATGGTTTTGGCACTAGAAATGAAGCGGGGAAGAACATTCTGGATTTTGCCTCGACATATGAGTTGGCTGTGATGAACAATTGGTTCAAGAAAAGAGACTCTCACCTTGTCGCCTATAGAAGTAGAGCTAATAGTACCCAAATTGACTACTTTTTAGTACGGACGACTTGGAGAACTAGATAAAATGAGGAGACGAGTTAAGGTACAAGGGGAGCCAAAGATAAAATGGTGGAGGCTCGAGGGGAATCTCCAACAAAGTTTTGCACACAAAATGTTGGAGGAAGATGTATAGTCTACTGATAATGATGCACACGTGGATGATGTGTGGTTATCAATGGATTCCATCATTAACAAAGTGGCGAAGGAGATACTCGGAGAATCTAAAGGATGTCTGCCACCAAAAAAAGGACACATCTTGGTGGAATGATGAGGTGAAACAAGCAATAAAGACCAAAAGGGAATGCTATAAGAAATTGGGCAAAAGTCGGAGCGACGAGAACATAGAGGAGTACAAAGAGGCTAGAAGAAAAGCAAAAAAAGATGTGAAGGAAGCCAGAGGAAAAGTGAACAAGGAATTGTATGTAAAGTTGGATTCTAAGGAAGGAGAAAAAGTTATCTACAAATTTGCTCGCCTTCGTGACCGTAGGACTCAAGATACTAATGGACGACGAAGAAATAAAAGAGAGGTGGAGGTCATACTTTGATACCTTGTTCAACGGGAATAAAGTCCAAGGTATTGATGATCTTACTATACCAGAGTGTATGGTAAATCGGGACTTCGTGAGAAGGATTCAAACAACAGAAGTTAAAGAGACTGAGAAAAATGGGGCAGAACAAAGCAGTGGGCCCAGATGACATATCGATCGAGACTTGGAGAAGTTTGGGAGAGAAAGGCATCCAGTGGCTAACACGTTTCTTCAACATGATTTGGAGAAACAACAAAATGCCAGTGAGTTGGTGGAAGAGTACTCTCATTCTCTTATTTAAAAATTAGGGTGATGTACAAGATTGTGTTAACTATCGAGGGATTAAGCTTATGAGTTACACTATGAAACTTTGGGAGCGAGTGGTTGAGCAAAGACTTCGTAAAAGTGTGAAAATTTTGGAGAATCAATTTGGTTTTATGCCTGGACGCTCAACAACTTAGGTCATTCACCTTCTTAGACAAGTTGTGGAGAATTATAGAGACACTAAAAAGGATCTGCATTTGGTGTTCATTGACTTAGAAAAGGCATATGATAGTGTACCTCGAGAAAAGGCATATCACGTAAGTATATCCGTATCATCATGGATATGTTTGATGCCTCTACTACAAGTGTCCGCACTAGTGTAGGGAGGACCGCAGAGTTCCCTATTACTATCGGAGTGCACCAAGGATCTGCTCTGAGTCCTTTCTTATTTGCTATAGTCATGGATGAACTTACGAAGTCAATTCAAGAAGATATACCGTGGTGCATGATGTTTGCCGACGATATTGTATTGATTGATGAGACACAATCTGGTGTTAAAGCGAAGTTGGAAGTATGGAGACAAACATTGGAGAGCAAGGGTTTCAGACTGAGCCGAAGCAAGATTGAGTATATGGAGTGCAAGTTCGGTGGAGGTAGAAGTAGTAGCAACTGTGGGATTACTCTTGATGGTAAGGAGATACCGGTGTGTGATATGTTCCGTTACTTGGGTTCCATAATTCAGAAGGATGGTGAATTAGATGGAGATATATGCCATAGAATCAGAGCTGGGTGGATGAAATGGAAGAGTGCTTCATGATTTCTATGCGATCGAGGTATGCCGACTAGACTGAAAGGTAAATATTATCGTAAATCAATTAGGCCGGCATTAATGTATGGCGTAAAGTGTTGGGCGGTGAAGCAATGCCACATTCAAAAGATGAGTGTGACTGAGATGCGTATGTTGCGTTGGATGTGTGGACATACCAGAAAAGACCGCTTGAGGAATGAAGTAATCAAACAAAAGGTGGGAGTGGCACATATAGAAGATAAGATGCAGGAGTCTCGTTTGCGGTGGTTTGGGCATGTGCGTAGAAGACCGAATGATGCACCTGTTAGACGACTTCAGGGGTGGGGAGAAGAGGCAGAGAAGAGAGGGAGGGGAAGACGCAAACAGACTTGGATTAGAGGAATCAGAACTGATATGCGTCTTCTTGGGTTGGATGAGAGTATGGGTTTGGAGAGAGCAATGTGGAGGGCGCACATCCGTATGGACGATTGATGTCTTGTCTACCTTTCCTCTCTTTTTTCTTTTATCGTTTATCTTCCTTATCTTTTTATATTCCTATGTTATTTTTTATCTTCTAGCTTTTTTATGCTCTTTTATTTTTTCTTTTATCTTTCTTATATTCTTGAGTTATTGTTAGCTTATATTTATTTATCTTTATTTTATTCATTTTATTTTACTTTTTCTTTTTTCTTCCCTTTGTTGTTCGTTTTCTCTTTTTGGCATCGATATCATAGATCGATTCATGTTAGTCAACCCCAAATTCTTTTGGGATTAAGACTTGGATGTTGTTGTTGTTGTTTAGAGAGAGAACTTATCCTGTCCGTACGTTCGGACAGGAGGAACCGCCCCGAACGGCGCCTTAGGTCCGAACATTCGGACCTGAGCATTCTTGTGTGTGTGTGTATGCACATATACTACCTCCGTCCCGGTGGACTTTGGCAAGTGCAAAGTATGTGAGAAATAAGAAAAGTAAAAATTGTGTGATTGAGATTTGTGCAAAGGAGAGAAATGTGCAGAACTACAAATTAGTTGCTTTAATAGGAAAGTGACAAAGTTTTTTGGGACAACTAAAAAGGGAAAGTTGGCAAAGTCCAATGGGACGGAGGGAGTATATAATATCGATTGGTATTAAATGTTTATGAGGATCGGGGAGATATTATTAATTATAAAGTAATTTAACAATAAACAAAGTTTCATCCACTATTTTTTCATGGTTTCACCACTTTTGATTTATATTAAAAGTACAACTGGGTGGAGACTTGAAGTTAGGATTATATTTTGTTTATTTTCCGTTCCCGTAACTCTAGTTTCAGTTAAATCATCATGGTTTTACAATTTTTTATTTATTTTGGACAACATTTACTCTAGTTTTAGTTGTTTGGCATGTAAATTGCAATTTGCAAATGTTAAGAACAAATATTCAAAGATCGTTTCATACTTGAGCTCGAGTTCGAACCCAATTTTCGAGCTAATCGAACTTGTAACTTTTGAGTTGACGAACCAAAATTATCGAGACGAATCGAGCCGAATTAAGCCATGTCCATATTTGTGAGTCGAGCTCGAACCCGGATTTTTTAAGCTCGTTCGAGCCGAGCTCGAGCTCAAGCAAATACAATATATTTCAAGCTCGAGCTCGAGCCTACATAAACTCGGGTTCGGCTCGGCTCGGCTCATTTGCACCCCTAATGGTAGGGTTTCAATTGTGTCTTCACTTTTCAGTTGCCACCAATTCTTTGGGATTTGAATCTTTAACTCCCTGTTACATCACTAGATTCGCTGAAAATTGGGATTATGTGGGTCGGTCCACTTACTCCAATATGTGCTTAATTGAACAAACATGGGGGCAATGAATTCCACGTACAAAAAATGAGACCAACTGTAATGCTTTGACTACTGGATATGTTCAAGTCATTTGCCATAGACATGCCTTTGTTCCTTGCTTCACGATAATGCTCTGACTACTGACTGTGTTTAGTCTTCATCCTCACACAGAGTGTAGAACAAAGGCGCATTTCTTCGGACCAAGATCAAAGCTCAATGTTTAAAGTGATATGCAACCAACGAGATCGCTTCCGGGCACGCTTGCAAGAGACGGAGGAGGTTTCACTTTTTGTCATTTTTGAAATTCCACTTGGTGCAAGTTCTTGTTTTCTATAGATTTTCTCAAGCTCTCTACTTGAGATCCCAGGTATTTTTAGCTGAAATTCTTCTTGCTCTAGGAAATAAGGAAACTGAAGGAGAAAATTGGGGTTTTGACAGCAGAACTTGAGAAAACCAAAGCTGACAATGTCAAACTTTATGAAAAGATCCGATATGTTCAGGATTACAACTCTGAGAGGGTTATTTCAAGAGGATCAAAGAAGGTTATTTGCATCAGCTTCTGTCATTCCTATACATTTTTTTAGGTTTAGGGTCTCCCTACTCAAATGGGGCTTGTTCATTTTCAGTATGCAGAAGATGTAGAAAGCGGCTTTGGCTCTGATGTGGAATCTAAGTACAAGAAGATGTATGAGGATGACATAAATCCATTTGCTGCATTCTCAAAGAAGGTGTGCCATCCCTCACCATGTAAAAAAATGCATTTCACCTTCCTCTCCTAATTGACATTATGCAGGATATGGAAACCCTTGAACTTTACTTTTATTCTCTCTCTCTCTCTCTCTCTCTCTCTCTCCTTCCCCCCCTTGGCCCCTTCTCTCTCCTATGCTTTCACTTATCATGGATTGCCATCTCATGATCTTGTGTACCACTAACAGGAAAGAGATCAGAGATACAAGGAGTTGGGTTTGAGGGATAAGATAACTCTAAGTAGTGGGCGTTTCCTCCTAGGGAACAAGTAAGCTTCTCTATTCTAGTGTTTTTATTTCACTTCTTACTATGATGAATATGCTAAATTGCCACTGCATTACTTGGTGCTGCATTGGCTTGTGCGGGAATTGTATCTAAAAGTGAATTTCGACATACTCATTAGTAGAAAACTGTTAAGATGCTCTGCAAGTAATGGTTAAGCTTTATAACATATGCTCTGCTAGTAATTTCAACATACTCATGACTAGAAAACTATTAAGATGCTCTGTCAGAAATCACTTTTCCCCATTGCTCGTGGTTGCAAATAATCTCAGTATGATTAAAATCTTCTAAGTTTGCAGTTCTGTGTTCAACATCAGAATCATCAAATTAAAAGATTTATAACATTTCTTAGAACAATTTTGAGTCGCAAATTTCCCTTGCTCATCCCTGGCCATGACACTCTACATACTTTATTGTCGCAGATATGCTCGGACTTTTGCATTCTTCTATACGATTGGATTGCATGTCCTAGTATTCACCTGCCTGTACAGAATGTCTGCTCTGAGCAACTCTGGGTAAAGATGATATTGTGCATGCTCAATGATTATACTACGGAGTTTTGTGTTAAAAATTTTATTTGTTTTCAATATCTGAAGGATAGTGATGCTCATTGTTTTTTCCTTTGGTTTGCAGCAATGCAGCAGAGGATAAGATCATCGACCTTCCTCATCCACAGTAATACCTTTGACACATGAGTTTTCTTCTCCCAACTGATCCATGCAAATTAACAGGAGCAAGCTATATACAATTATGTGATGTAAATAGAGAAGAAATAGACAGAACAGTGGCTTCCATTTTTGTTGACAGCAGAATGTAATGGAAATATGGAATCATCGTGTTTTAAAACCATTACTTCCATCTGTTTCAGGCTGTGCAAGGTTTCTTCTTTTTAGAGCATTCGTGTACTGTAATGGTTCTAATACAAAAATTAGAAAAATATTATTTGTGTTGTGGGAGGAACGAGAATCGCACGTTTACTGGCCGGTCCTTTTAATATTATGATTCATATATATCGGGATTATCGGCTCTCTAACGAGAAACACACTAATAAATAATAATTTCTTTCAGCATCACTTCCAGTGCTGAGTACCTGAGTTGTAAACATAATGTGAGAGTGTGAGACATAAAACCTCGCCAATAATAAAAAGAAATTGTTCGAAAGTAAACCCGATTAGGGAAAAAGAGAACAACATTAGTTTTGAATAATCATGTTAGACTAATCTCATGAATCTGTCTTGAATCCCCGTTCACATCAATCAAGGATTCAAGGGAGTTGGAAGTTATGCATTCTTAATTTTTCACACTGGTTAGTGGTTACCTTGATGAAGGCACTATAAATCTATAATGAATAAATGCTCAAAATATTACAGAGTATCTCGACAAAAATATGATTAGTTATCATTACCTTTATTTAATAAATATAAACTTTGTATTTCTTTTAACTTTAATTCCTATCCAACACCCTACCTTGTTCTCACCCCACCTCACCCCGTTCCTCTGCTACCTCCAGTTACAATTGTCGGCGACTACCGTAAAAGTCGATGGATTTTTTTATAGTGGTCACGATGATATACATAGTATTTCATAATTCATAATGGTAGTGACACTAGTGGTAGTTAAAACTATTAAAACTATTAAACCAGTAGTTTAATAGTGACACAAGTGGTGATATAAAAAAACTATTAACTACATATTAAACCAGACTGGGCCGGGCCGGTTCACTAAAATGCAGGCTCGGGATCGAACCGCTAGAAGACCGGGCCAGGTGGCCCGAACCGGGCACCAACCGGTTCACCGGGCCGGTCCGGGCCTGCACAATAGCGGGCCGGTCCGGTTCCGGGCCGGTTGGCCCGGCCCGAGTCCATCCCTTAAATCAGTAGTGACATTATCACTTCAATTTTGTCACACTTTAGTCACATTTTTGTGCATATATAAGAGTAATCACTTTTTTTTTTAGAATTTAACTTCAATAAAATAATATTTAACAAAAAAATCTAATATATTGTCTTTAGTACTCTCTCGTGTACTAAACTTATGGAGGCAAGGGGCTTGTACCCAACCAAAGCAAAGCTGGTGTTGCACTTGAGTCCCAAATCAACCAAGGTCGGTGCCATTTGGCGTCGATGCTTAGCGGAGCCTAGTGCTACTAAACATCCATATCAGGACCCCCTGTTGGTTAGACGACGTCGAACGGGTTAAAACAACCACAAGATTTAAAGAAGCTCACGAGAATAAATATCAGTCGACGTCTTGCATCTCTATCTCAATATGGAGACATTCCCACATGAACAATGCCCTACATGGGGCGGGAACAAGATCGAGTGGGTGTGAGGAACCAACATGAAACCTACTCCCATAATCGCATGAAGGCGTTTTCTTGGGCAACACTTCTTTTTTGAGGGAACTCAAGAAGTGGCGAGAACAACATTTAATGCATAGATTTTCCAAAATGACATTCGATTTAACAACTAGCTAATGGGACCCGATCTATGACCTACTTCATCCGCTACATATAATACTCTCTCATAACTCAACTTGTTGGGTTGGCCAACATTTAGTAGAAAAAATTGACCTGACCCGACCCGACCCGGCTTGGACCCGGTTCAAACCCGGGCCGGTACTTGGCCTTTAGCCCAAATCCCTAGTCCCTCCCAATCTCGGCCCGGAGCCCGAACCGACCCAGGCCCGGTCTATGCCTAAAAAATATACTCCGTATGAAAAGTGTAAGAGTATGACAATATTTTTTCATGTAATAAGCATGAAAATGCCAAAACCCGGAAAGGAAGCCTAAATTAGTCCTAGATGGGATTTAAGTTGTTTGAAAACAACCTAAACATTTTTGATCAGGTTTTATGGCATTGACCGGATTGATCCGCTTATGATTTGTCTGGATCGCTTTCCGGTCCAACATTTACAAATAACTCCACATCTGCTTTAATTTTACATGCCTTTTACAACATTAAATCCTTCTCTATTTTTAAATCCTTCACTTTGTCACTTTTGCTATTCGGATGTATACCTCTGCTATTGTGTCACAAATTATTTCAACATTAAAAATATACATTTAAGACCTAAATTACTTGATAATAGATGTTTTATATGCTCCAAAATTGCTTAATCTAATCTGCGGTCTGGATGCTCGATGATATTCGGCTGATGGAGACATGGAGTTTAGAACTTTTGTCTCTCTTTCTTCCCTACTTATCTGGGAATACCGTATGTAATTAACTTAAAACTAGCAGATCAAGATATGATCGCATCAAATTCTACACGAGTTCGGAGTGAAATCAGAAATCAGAAATCAGAAATACTACATAGTTGCTCGTGTAAAAGGCCGACAAGGCTCTTCTGCGTAATTCCTTAGCAGGAGAGATAATTAAATTATTTCTTTATTTAGAGATTATATATTTTTATTCATAATCTTTATTTTAGTACTATATATATAAAGGTAAAATTATAATCCTAATTCTATTAAATGCCTTATAAAGAGGAATTAAGTTTGAGAAAATTCGCGAAATAGAAATAAAAACATATGAGTACCGCGCTTTTGTTTTCTAAGGATGTTTTCTTTTGGATTGTTTTTAATCCCATACCAGATCAGACCAGATTTAAATAGATCGAACCAGACTTGGACAGTTATATAATACACAGAGACCAAACTAGACTTAGACGACCAAATCAGATCATTAAATTTCAGTCCAAAAGAAAACATTCTAAATATGAGTAATTGCGACCAAATTTGAGAAATATTGGAATATTACCATGTTTAAAATAAGATGATTTCAAAATATGGTATTACTATTTTGTACTCCCTCCGTCCCGTTGGAATGTTCCTGGTTTGACCTACACACATATTAAGGAAATAAACTTATGAGGAGGTAAATTTTACTATTTTGACACTGTTTCGACACTGTTTGACATTGTTTCGACACTGTTTGACACTGTTTGACCCTGTTTTGATGTAGGATAACTTTCCATTTAGGGAAATGAGAACTTTCAAACCGGACATCCAACAAAAGAAAGCGGAAACATTCCGAGGGGACGGGAGTATATTAGAAATAAAAATCGCGATAATCCTGGTACCTTTTAAATTCCATTTAAGGCAATTTAATAAGTTTTTAATCGGGAAACAAAAGCTCAGGGGTTTGCGCCGAAAACGGATACTTCAGCTGTGTATATATACACGTAGTAGCGAGGGAGGGTTTTTGTCTTCATCATTTTGAATTGATTCGAAGCCGTAGGAAAAAGTTGAGATGGATAGCAATAGTTGGAGGGCGGCGCAGCCTCTTTCACAGGTTAAGGGTGGTGACGCCACCGGCATAGCGGCTGGGCGGGCTGCACCAGCACCGGCTTCAGGAGCCATGGAGACTGGCGATTGGCGGGCCCAACTCCGACCGGAATCCAGGCAAAGGATTGTTAACCAGATAATCGAGGCCTTTAAGCGGTATCTTCCGTCCGCCGCACAACAGGGGCTGCAAGAACTTATGCAAATTGGGGCGAGATTTGAGGAAAAAACTTATGCGTCCGCTACAAATCGGAGCGATTATCTGCAGAAGATATCCCTAAGGTTGTCTTCATTGAAGTCAAAATCATCGCAAAACCCTACGGCTATGGCTAATCCTGTGCAGAAGCAAAACTTTCAACCTACTCCCGAACCATCATCATCCACGTCTTTAGATTCAACCGCTCAAACGGGAATCACGCATTCGGGTGATTGGCGGGAAGAGGCTTACCATAAGCTCAAGTGCTTGAAAGAGGCATATTTTATGGATCTAAATGAATTGTTCCATAAGATATCTAGTAAAGTGGCTCGGTATGATTCTCTTCCCCAACAACCCAAAAATGAACAAATGGACAAGATGAAGCATTTGAAGGGCGTGATGGCGCGACTTTTACATACGTTGAGGCTTGAAAAGAAAGACATTCAACCACAACACAAAGAAAAACTGGTTCAGGTTGAGGGGCTGATATTTTATTTTCTTAGCCCCAACCGGACCGGGAAGCCTCAGCCTTCACAAAATCTTGATGGCCAAATTAATCTGCACTCTCCTCTAAATTTACCAGGCACAATGGCTTCCATGCAGCAGAACAATTTGAACAATCCCATGTCTTGTATAACTGCAGTCACAAACTCCCAGCAAAACACGCTATCTTCAATGCACATTGGAGCTAGCATGGACATGGTGGGGCAGGGAAGATCATCAAGTTCACTGCAGCAGGTTTCTTGTGGTGCTTTACACCTAACTTCTATCAATGGTCCTCAACTAATGAACCTGAGCTCGTTTTCATCACAAAACTCCAATATGCTACAGCATCCTCGGCAACATGATCAGCAAATGCTGCACAACCAACAGCTCAGACAACAGATTCAACAGCGGCAGATTCAGAAGCAAGGACTGCAGCAGCAGCCATTAAAGCAAGCCCCAACTCCACCAGCTGCACAGCCGGTGGCCCAATATCACCAAATGGTTGATACAACGAATGGTGTAAATATGAGGCAGCAGCACATAGGTGGCAACAAACCAGGTGTCTTCCAGCAGCATCAGCCACTTGGCCCGAGCGTGGCTTTGCATCACCCCCGGCTAAATCCGAGTATATCTTCACCTCAATTTCATCAGGCATCATCTCCTCAGCTTTCCCAGCACCCTTCACCTCAATTTGACCAGCAAAATATTTTGACATCTCATACAAAAATGGGAACACCTCTTCAATCAGCCAGTTCACCTTTTGCCCAATCTCCTTCTGCTCCCTTGGTTCCATCATCAATGCCAGTGGACTCTGAAAAAGTTATGCCAGTGAAGTCTGAAAAAGTTAGCATGGGTGGCGCTCCATCTCTTCTTGGTCCTGGGAATATAGGGATTCAGCAAACAACTTATGCATCGGCTCAGTCTCTAGTTATTGATACTCCCGGGATATCAACGTCGCCACTGCTTCCAGAAATTAACAGTCTAGATGGTGCACATGCAAATCTATCAACTTCCATTTCTGGGAAGTCAACAGTTGAGCAACCTATTGGACGCTTGGTTAATGCAGTAAGAACACTGTCAACTAAGGCATTGAGAACCTCTGTTAAAGACATCAGCTCTGTCATAAGTATGATGGATAGAATAGCTGGACCAGCACCTGGAAATGGCTCTAGAGCAGCTATCGGTGAAGATTTGGTTGCCATGACGAAACGTCGGTTGCCTGCAAGAAATTTCTACACACATGATGGACCCACTGGAACAAAAAGAATGAAATGCTATACTACTTCAAATGTAGTGTCATCTAGTGGGAGTGTTAATGATGGATTTGCACTATGGGATTGCACTGGAACATCTGATTTGGAGTCTACAGAAACTTCCAGCATTCAAAAACTCAAGGTTAACCATGCATTCATCGAAGAGATAAGGGAGATTAATCAGCGACTGATTGATACTGTTGTGGAAATAAGTGATGAACCACGTGTTCTACCTTTTGCGGCTGATGGAGATGAAGGGGGTACCATGGTTACGTGCTCTTTTATGGCAGTGTCTCTCAGTCCAGATTTAAAATCGCAATGTGCTTTGGCTCAAGTGTTGCCTATTCAGTCATTGAGATTGCTTATTCCCACAACTTATCCAAACTGCTCCCCAATTTTCTTAGATAGCTTTCCAGTTGAAGTCAGTAAAGAATATGAAAATGTGTCTGGCACGATTAGATCAAGGCTTTCTACCGCCCTTAGAAGTCTTTCAGAACCGATGTCATTGGGAGACATTGCAAGGGCCTGGGATTGTTGCACTAGGGCAACTATTTCCGATAGTGTTCAGCAATGGGGCAGGGGAAGTTTTAGCTCCAAGTATGGTACATGGGAAGATTGCATCACCACAGCACCCTAACCATTACTCTTGCAATGAATTTAGAGATTAGTATGTTTGTAGTATGGAACATTCCTTCGTTTAATATGTCTTGTGTGGAACATCTCTTTAAAACATGTACATCATCCTTGTATCAAAAACTGAGGAAATGTAATCATTTATCTTATTCTTGATCCCAAAAGAAGTATACTACTGAAAGTGATTTGATATATGTGTGTGTGTCGAAATTTTTGTGTGGTCAAATCAATTAAACGATTACATTTCCAGGAGTAGCTATTGGTTAAGATTTGTGTCGTGTGTGAATGGGCAAATTATACCGTATGACCGGCATACCATGCGCATGGTATGCCCGGTCTAAAACGGCATCGTTTCACAATTAAAAAAGATAGCAGAGCTTCGTTCTTATTTCAATTTCATCTTATTATTTCATCGTTCATCGCTGCGGAGCTTCCCTCAAAGAGAGATGCTGATGGATCTAAATTAAAGGCAGGGTCGATCATCAATGGGGGGCCTCTGGTGTGAAGGTCTTTTTCCAGCAAAGAAGGAGAGATGATGTGGAATTAGGGTTTTAATCGCCGATTGAACGACGGAGGGGATTGAGAAACTTCAATATCGATGTCGGAATCGATCACCACACATCCCTGGAGTTATCCGAAACAATTAGTTGCGTGTAATCTCCAGGCATGCTCTCTATTCACCAATTGAAGAAACATCAAATAGGGTTGTGGAGAGCTCTCCATTCGCCAATTGCAGAAACATCAAACAGGGTTGTGAACTTCGTATATCTTTGGCGGAAGTTACATCTGTATAAAGGCCATTTACATTGGAATGGCCTAAAGTTACATTTCATATACACTAGAATTACATCTCGTTTTGGCTAAACTACATTTTGTAACACGCGTTTCACATTTCAATTTTCCTTGATAAGTTACATCTTGTTCACATGTTATTTACATTTTAATGTACACAAGTTACATCTTAATACATGCGAGTTACATCACAAAACTATACAAGCTACACAACAAAACAAACCTTTGTTTTTCAATCAAAAGTGATTTTATTATTAAAAATCATTATTAATGGACCTAATATTAAAAACAAAACATATGCACTATTTATGTAAAATAATTGGACAATTAAACTCTCTTTTTTTATTAAACATGAGTTACATTTCAGGGCACAAGTTACATATGTTGTTAACTGAAGTTACATTTGTAGCAACACGAGTTACATCTAATTATGCACAAGTTACATCATTCATGCTACTGGGATGAAAATTTAAAAAAAAAAATTGTACACGCAGGTACTGTTCACGCGTGTACTGTTCACGCGATTTTTTTTTAAAATTTGATCGAAACTACGTTGTTTTGGGGTGTGGAGCATGGTGCTCACCATGCTCCGGTTGCACGATATACGGACCGGTGTGAATGTACATACAGCTTTTGATCTCGTTTCTATTTCGGGTGAAATTCTGTTAGTGTTAATATTTTTAATTTGAGAACATGTTGGTAACCCGTATTTTAGCAATAGAAGTTATTGTAGATGATCATTTTAACTAGTTCTCGTATGATTTGTTCTTTATTTTATTAATGAAATACATTTTAAATATTTTTTTTCATGATCCAACCACTTCGAAAAATTTCACCTATTTTACCAGATTAAGCTGATTAAGTCAATTCCCGTACTACCAACCGGGTTCTGAATGTATTGGCCCCTTTTTGTATTCCTTCTTTAATTTTTTTGTTAATATCTTCATGTAGAAAATTGTTAAGATTCTTTTTTAATTTGGATGATATATTAGATTTTTTTTTTCATATGCGACTTTTCATCATTTCTCACATTGCTGGTTCACATATGAATTGAATTCTTCAATTTAGCATATTTTTCACCCTATATGTTCTTTGATTTCTTGTTTCTTAATGGCTCTTCGATTTGTTTTTTAGTCAAACTCTTAGAGCATTACCAATGAAGTAGTCTTAGTCTCAATAAACTGTGACAAATGCCAAATAAATAAAAGACCTTTTTAGTACACATAACACAAAGTGAAGTGATTAGATATTGAACCGGTGAAGAGTTTCCGATTTATCACTTGTTTCGGTCCACGTTTGGTGTCTACTTCGAAACTGAAATTCAATACATTAAAAGAATACTAAATTATCCCCACAAGCCAAAAAGAAGATTTAAAACATCCTAGAAAAGATTGCACATTGATTGCATCATATAGAGCTCCTCTCACATATAACTTTCTTTTGTTTCTTGCGTAATAAATCCATGAAGGATTTAAAGCAGCCATAAAGTAATCAAATTCTTAATATTTTACGGAGCATTTGCCTAGTCATCAGATCAAGTCTAGAACATGAAGTGGCAGACTAATACTCCGTACTCCGTAATTACAACCCATCCGGCTGTTACTCTTCTCAAAAAACAAATAAATGTGCCTCACGTTGTTCAGCACATCTCATGTGTTTAGTATTATGTCACCATTTTTAATGCTGCATGCAGCCAATTAGTGACGTTTCATATCCTGCCAAAAGATAAGTACTACTCCAAGGGGCCAATTCTTCAACAGTTCTACTAATCTACTGCAGCAAAGCTTATGATCGACTCACTGTTGCTCTATGACGGGATAGATGAATAAGCCTTGTCAGAATATCATTGCTTGGAAGATGCTAGCAACCTTTGGTTTGGTGAAGGACGTTAGTCCTCAGGCTACATATTGGGAGCTGTCGAGCTGAGACTAAGCTTACTTCGTAGATACTACTCCAGAAATGACAAGGTGAAATCAAAGGCTTAATTAACATGTCTGTTCCATGATAAACAATAACTCACATAATATACATGATAAAAAAGTTTTTTCATTTACATATGATAGTTCTAGATAATACCAACATATGTTTACATGTACATGTATGAATAAAGAATAATTCCAGAGAAGAGCAATGTGTGGTACGTAGTATGAATTATCTCTGATTGGACTCTAATGGTTAAATATGATGAGATTTTTGCAATCGTTTTTAATTAAAGACACACTCTTCTCATTAAACTTTTCATCAACACACAAGAAATGAAAACTGTTATAATTGACGGCATTCAGAAAGCTTCTCTATGCATAAAGCAACACATATGATTGTATGAATCACTCTAAATATCAATGAAATTTTTACTTTCACATTTGTATATATCGCATTATAGCCTATCCACATTTACCTGCACATATTTAAGATGTGTTTGTGATTAAGTCACTCCAAATGCTAATCAAACTAAGTACCTGACCATACAACACCTATCCAAAGTAATTTACACACCAGAAAAAATATTATACTACGTATATATCTTGGTTCAAAGAGCTAAACTTATTTGCTTATGTGATCTGAATATCAGTAGCTCTGTTTTCTTCTAATATAAAACAAAACTAAATCAGGTTCACCATTATATTTAAATTAATTCCTGAAATTTTATTGCAGTTTTGTGCTTCCTTAATGGGACTATTAAGAACAGCAGTAACATTTATGAAATGATTAACAAATTCATTTGTTGGCTCTTTGTTGATTCCTAAAAGTAAAGATTGAATAATTTTGGTAGAAATGGATAATACAATTAACCATAAAGGACTTCATCGATCAACAGACTACCAGAAAACAATCAAACAAAAAAATTTAAAAACAACTTACCAAAAGATACTAGCCCGGGCTCATGGTTGCCCAAACTATAGCTGCAGGTGAACAAAGTAAGAGCTAAAGAGCACAGAAAAAATCAATTGAACTCAGTATTCTCTAATATTCTTATTTCAATTTCCAAATAGATAAGCCAACGTAAATATATTAACAAAAAATAAGCACACAAGAAACAAACAATTTATTTGGCAAAATGAACCAATGTACATGGAATTGAATTCAAGTAACATAATATTAACAGACATTCGAAATTTCAAGTACCCACCCTTCTCAGCGACCAAAATTGATTAATTGGAAAAACAGAGTCGTAAAATACATGAAAATGAAATGCTTACACCCAGGACTGAAAAGCTGATCAGTTGAAGGAAGGGGGAAACTCTAACACTTTAATCTATGAGCTCCTTCTAGGTCTTTATCTAAATGAGTAGTAGCAGCAGAAGATGCATCTATTCTCATGAATCAACCCTTCGTTCCACAATTCAAACCCAGCAGACTACAAAACTGACACCTTCTTATAAGCATAGATACATGGAATTCAACTAAAAGTTAAAATTATTAACGGAAACATTTTCCTAATCTCAATAAAGAATCCTATGTGGATACTATCTTCTTCCAACCGTTACACTTCTCAATAAACATACATACAAATGATCATCATGTTGTCCAGCCAAAAAGTGGCGTTTCATAATCTACCATAAACCGTTTCCTATAAATACTACTCTAGCAGTCTAACTTTTCCACCACAGGCCGTAGCAATGCTTGTGATCGACGGTTTTCTCTATGATATAGACGAATATACATTAGTAAAGTATCATTCAATTTGTTACTGAGGCGTTTAAGATTACCAGATTATATGATTCTTTATATATGTTTTTTGAGCTTTTTACTATGAAGATGCCTGCAAATTTTTGTTTGGTGAAGGACATTACTCATGGAGATGCACATTGGACGCGGGGACTATGCTTGCTTCGTGTATACTGCCCTCAAATGACAAAAGGTGAAATCTAAGGCTTCTAGTAAAGAGGTACTAATAAAGATACACGATACAAAACTAAAAAGAGTACTAATATATACACGCCATTATATGTTTCTATATTTCAAGAAAACATTTTGATTACTTTGTAGTATTTAAGAAACCAATTGGTAATTTTGGTTCTTTTATTATGGCTTTATTTGAACAAAGTGTGGTTTTATTTAAGAAACATTTTGATGGAGCCCCAACATCGTCGGATCTACTCAAAGGAATCATCGATGTCTTTAATGGAGCCCCAACATCGTTCGAGCACCTGATGTTGTCGTTGGATTATATGGCAGCGAGCTTCTCAGCCGGTGACGAGCTTCGCCGACGAACCGTCGCCTCCCCTGTTGCATCAATGAAGAAAATTCTTCTCTCAAACTGTGCCCCTTCTTTCTTCTTCATATAATCTCCATCTTGAAATGGTTTCCGACTTTCCGTCAAGCTGGAGGTAAATGGGGATGCTGGAGCAGAATAGGGTTGCAGAGGAGGGATTGGGGCTGGGGGACTGAGGTGGCTCTGGCGGCGGTAGGCAAGGCAGGGGAGGGGCTGGGGCTAGGGAGGGTGCAGGCAGGGGCGGTACTGGCAGTGGCACCGAAGGCAGAGCCGGGCACTGGGTATTGGCCTGGTGGTCAATGGTTTTGTGGTGTTGGGGGCATGTGGCCCGGTGGTTGCGGGGGCTATGGCCGGTGGTGGCCGCCAGAGAGGTGCAAGGGTGAGGTGTCACTGACGGGGCGATCGGTCACTGTAGGGGATGTTGGCTATGGCCGATGGTGGCGCTGGTGGTGTACAGTTTCATCGGAAAATGTTGTCGAAATTTTTTCCAGAGATCGTAATAACAAGTTTCACCACAAAAGTGAAGTAAAATTATGATAGGGACATAAAAAAACGGTAGTGACATCATATTTTTCAAATATGCGACTTTCTTAGTCACTATTTTGTCTTTTTGGAATGATCGCATTCTTGAAAACTAGCTCCAATTTGGTAATATTCAATCAAAAAGCCTTGAATTTTATAGGATACTAATTAATTACATACTCTTGAAGCTTAAGAAGTCCATAATGTTCATGAGGAATATAGATCATACACAATATTTGTGTAATGGTATGAGATCTGCTACTAGAAAAACATCTACTCCCTCCGTCCTGAAATAATTGTCCTGCTTTGACCCTCACATAGATTAAGAAATTGAAGTTGACTTCACACTGTAGCGACACTGTTTGGCACTGTAGCGACACTGTTTGACACTGTAGCGACACTGTTTTCCACTGTTTGACACTATTTTGTATAAATTTGTTTACCAAATAAGGAAAGTTTCAAATTAGGACAAATATTTTGGGACATCCAGTTTGGAAAAGCATAACATTTATTTCGGGACGGAGGGAGTATTTGCTACAGTCATTTTCACCTATTTAATGCGGTTCTGAACCGCACCAATTGAAGGAACAACAATATGTGGGTTTAACTTTTTGAACCGCAGCAAATACTCATTTGTAATTCTTTTAAAAATACTTATTGCGGCGGTTATGTAACAACCGCAACAAATAGTTCTTCAAAGATAGGCATATTCCTGCAGTTTCAGAACAACTGCAGCAAAAATAGAATGATCACTAATTACGCTAGGAAATCATATAATAGGAATAAGCATTGGTATGAGAATGGTGATCACTGTTTAGTACGCTATGATGATAATGTTATCATTGCGTTAGTACGCAATGATGATAACAAAAAATTAAGGGCAATCTTTGTCTAATGTTTGTTTGCGTGAAAAAATGTATTCAATCATGATTATTTATATGTTGCAAAGTGGCACTGTCGCGCATTACAAGTCTTGCTTATTTGAAAGTTACATGTGTGATAAAAAAGATAGAGATACTAAAATAACATCAAATGTTGTGTATCAATAAATCTTTAAAAAATTGCAAAGCATTTACTTCTTTTGCCATAATACACATTTTAGCATTATAATTTTCGCTTTTAATAATACGCCAATTAATAATATGCCAGAAAAAAATCTCATGCATCGCACGGGTACTATACTAGTATTAGTAAAAAAAGAAGCCTCATCGCCAAATTGGTCATTTTTGTGTGAATGAAACACTTTTGGACATAGATTTTAGAATTCCTGACTTTTTCATATTCTAAGTATTGTGAAATTGACTTTTTCTCCATCTGCTTTGATTTTGTCATCAAAAGGGGAGGACTAAAAATGTCACCACCCGTGTTTGATAATAGTAGTTGTCTGCTAGTTAATAATAATCGGTTGAATAATCGCATTGATACTAGCGGATTCCGTTAGACTTTTTAACTAACCACTTTCATTAGCAGTTTGAAATAAAATGTTAGTAACGTATCTGTTTCCGTTAAACTTTTAAGACGTAAAATGATCATTAAGGATATGAATTTAAACGTTTTTATATTTAATTAAATTTATTTTTTTTATTTTTAATACGTCTTGGAAAAAGTTTTAAAAATTATATTTACATTTATTTCAAATAACTACTAACACTATCATTTTTAACATGTGTATATTAATGCGAGCATAGACATATATATTCATATATTTTTAGTATTAATTTTTTAAATGTGACTATTTATTACTCCCTTTGTATGCATAGATCTGATTGTACATTTGGCTAATTATTTAGCCATGATCACAAATCGGCCAACAGGTCCTAAGCTATTATTGGTGGGGTTAGGGGTGGGTACCAAGATGGACTCAATATGCAAGATTTGAACATTAAATTTTGATTTTTGTAATCATTTTACGACAAGTAAAGTTGAACAAAAAGATTGTACACTAATACTGATACACATTATGAACCATTTGAAGCACCGTTAATCCAATATTGATTCGGTTTTAGAAGTTTTTAGAAGAATCGATATAAGAATTGATAGTATTACATCGGTGCAATTCTGGCACGTCGTCGGTTAATCATTACGAGCAAAAATATTTTAACTATTACTGTGTTTTATTGTTAAACCGCTATCACATAAAAATATAATTACAAATTAATAACTATATAACCGTAAATAAGTATACAAAATTTAACAAGCTAAATATGAAAAGAAAACAATTATTAAGTAGAAAATCTCGATTGCACCAATGCGTGTACCACATATAGCAATGAGTGTAACGCTTGTGTAACGATTAATGTTCTTACTCATTGAGTTGTGTACAGGGGCGGATCCAGGATCTAGAGATGGGGTGGGCTAAGCAGAAATAATTTTTTTACTATACATACCAAATTTAGCCCAGGGTTGTTATCGAACAAAGATTTTTTTGAATTTTATACTCGAGTTCGAGCTTGATTTCGAATCTAATTTAATGAATTGAGTTTAACAAGTTTCGAACTCGAACACGGAGTAGGTTTTGAGTTTGAATAATTATTCAAGCCGAGATCGAACATAGTGATGTTTCGATCCGAACACGAGCCTATCATTCACATATAAATTATACTATTGTACATATCATAAAATTTAAACGTTTTAGTGCAATTTTTATAAATTTATTAATGATTAATAAAAATTTGAATACTTATTGAATAATTTGAACATGAATCTATTAACGAGAATAGTCTAAACTTCTACATTCGAGCATGTCTATCGAGCATTGAAATCCAAATTTGAGATAGTTTGGATTTCAGGGACTACAGCATGTGGAGGATCCTCATTGACTAGATCTTGCACTGTTGTAGGTATAGGTTCAGAACTCCCTTCACCAGTTTGACGATTCACTTTCGAAAAGAATGATGAAATCAACTTCTTTCCCTTCTTGGCAACATGTTCATTATTCATTCTAAAAAACATTTTCAATATTGGTATATATTAAAATACTTATATATAAAAAATAAAACTATTTAATTATGTACTGAAAAATTCAATTAATAATCAAAACGATTGTATGATTCCCTAGCCCAAAAACTCTAAAATGCTAAAAATAATAATAATTAATACTACCTCCGTCCCTTAAAATTTTGCCAAAGTTGACCGGCACGGAGAATAATAAAGTAAAAACTGTGTGGTTGAGATTTGTGCAGAGGAGAGAGAAATGATAGAAACCACAAAATAATTGATTAAAAGAGAAAGTAGCAAAGTTTTTTGGGACGTCCCAAAAAGGAAAGATGACAAAGTTTTAAGGGACGGAGGAAGTACATTAATAGTTTAATACACAATCGGTTAATCACAGTTTACAAATTCACGGCAGAAGTTCATAACTTCACTGATTCACAAATTATTTGTGGGGTGGGCTGACAAATAATTTAGGCTGGGCTGAGATTTGAAAATTTACCAATACTATTAAAAAAATAAAAATTGGGCTGGGCTGAAGCCCACCCCTGGCCTAGCATACATCCGCCCCTGGTTGTGTAATTTAACAATTGATCATAAATAGACCGAGATTGCAGAACTTTCTCGAAATTTGAGTTTTCTTTTTAATAAAAAATACATTTGAATTCTTATACTTCATTTATTCTTGTAGAACTCTGCGATGCTAGATGAATTACACTTGTTTCATTTATTTATTGAATTGTTTATTATCATATTATACAGAGGAAATTACTCACGGTAGGACTAAAATATAGCAATTTTTCCAAAGTATGATCATATGTTTGATTTCCCTTAAATATGACTAAATGTTGCATTTCTACCCCTAATTTAATTAATATAATTAATTGTTTATAATTCTCTTGCATAACCAAAGTCATTTTATTGGTGGCAGCAGATCAGTCCGATGATGACGACGGCGAGCTCCGGTGACAGAGATGGACAATCAGATTGTTAGCGGCGATCTAAGTGATAATTCTGACGGTCGGCAGTGGCGGTCGGAATTTAAAAGTCTATGAACTTATACATGAATTTAAAAGTCAATAGAATTCATTCATAAAAAGTCTATGATTTTAAATGTCCATTGACCTTTTTAAAAGCCCATGAATTAAAAAAAATTCATCACAATCCATACTCAATACAGTCTATGAAGAGACACAAGACCCCAATAGAATACTTACAAGAGAGTCTTTTGTGGATTGACAGATATGTTTACAAATTACACTTTAAGGTTGCTGCTATACGATACAGAAAGAAATTCAATTAGGGAGTAGTTTTAGATTTGACAGTGAAAGTGTTAAAACATTAAGCAGGGTAGATTTGTACCCCAATTTCAATTTTGTCAGGCTTTTGTTCCAACAATTAAAACAAGAGTATATATGTTCTTACTTCTTACGAGTATATTCATCAAAATCGGCCTGACTGGGACAAATCAGCCTTTGCATACGCTCTTTGCATCAGCTCCGACTCTTTCGAATTGTGTTATACTATCCTCCTTTCCGTTTTAATCGCAACATGTTGAATTTTACACTATTCACATGTTTTACTTTGACTACATTTTACGTTATTATTTTATGAAAATTATTTTTTTAAAAAAATATTGTTCAATTCATCTCATTACAAATTTTCAAAATCTGATTTTTGATATTTTTTTACTAATAGAATTAAGATATAATTACGGTCAAATATGTGCGTTGGTAAATGTGAAATGTTGACCGTTGCAACTAAAAAAGAACGGAGGGAGTATATACATATTTTGTAAACAAGAGTATATATGTTCTTACGGGTATATTCAGCAAAATCAACCAAATCAGCTGATTTTCGTGTTACCAAACGGGCTCTATATGTGCCACAATTAGGTGAAAAAAATACTTTTGTGAGTTTTAAATATATATTTTTTACTTTTAGTGATTCGAAGGATCTTAAAAGAAAAAGATTTTTTAGAGATCTTACATAATACTCCCTGCGGTCTTAAATAAACTTTACGCTTTCTTTTTTAGTTAGGTGCAACATAAATAAATTATACTATCCTCCGTTTTTTAATTCTTGCAACAGTTTGACTTTCACGTTTGCCAACACACAACTTTGACTGTAACTATATTTAATTATGTATTAGTAAACATTATAAAAATTTGATATTTTGGAAATTCACATTGATAGGAATTTAATAACATTTTCTACGTAATAATTTGATTATGTATATTAGTAGAAAATCGTGTTCAAAGTAAGGTCTGTGAATAGTGCAAAAATCACAATGTTGCAAGAATTAAAGAACGGGGAAGTACATTTCTATTTTGACAATTTTTTACTATAAAATTACTCTTATTTCTCTTCCACTACATTTATGAGGAAAGAAACTCAAAAGTAAAAATTTCATAAAAAAGGTTGATTTTAACCCGAGATTTTTACATCTGCAAAGCGCGGGAAGTTTGAACTGACCAGCATCCATGCCCGGGAAAGAGACGATGGACGATTCGGGTGCAATTCTGTGTCAGATATCTCAGCTCAAGGACATGCTTGATAAGGTACCTCTACTTCAGTTCAGTGTATCGGTAGAATCGCCAGATTCTCAGATCACGATGATAGGGTTGGTTATTCGTTTCAGGTGAACGAGGACATCGAGGCCAACATCCAGATCACCAGAGAAATCGAATCGGAGATTGTCAAGTGCTCGGAAGCCGAAGTCTCCCTGCTTGCTCAAGAATCGGAGCTGATGCAAAGAGCGTACACGCAACAGTTCGAAATCAAAGGCTTGATGGCCGCCACTGGTACGTACTATAACACAGTGAATAAGGATTACAATGAAATCAGAATTTTGATTCCCCTGGAAGAAGTCACACATAAAATGGAATTATGTTCTCTTTTTGAATATCCAGAAAATCAATAGCTGGAGTGGTAGGGGACTAGCACAGCAGTAAATGATTGTATCTACGTTCGTTATATCGTTTGTCTTGATCCCACAAGACGAGTCTCTTGTCTGCATTCATTATTGAATCTCTATATATTAGGAATAGGATCAAACTGAATTGCATGATTGTGGTGTGTTGTTTTATGGCATCTTTTGAGGTACAATAGTTATACTTTGACTGAAAGTTGAAATTGTTTCTATTATAGGCTTGGAGTTGCTGAATAACCCTTAGATTTATCCTTAGTGGAAATTGCCCTCTATACTGTAGTGCTCTAAACTCCTCTCCCTTTTTATGTAGCTGCTTCAACAACCTCCCACAAATTATTAGAGGAAGAGATAGATTCTCTCAAAAGGAAGCGGGATGAGATACTGACCCAAATGAACATCCAACGGTAGTGATCCTAACCGTTTTGGCTCTGTGTTGATAAAAAGTGCAACTCGAAACACAATTTAGCAATCTGAAATAACGAAATCTCACATTAATCATCATATGCAAAAGACAAAAGCTAATTCCTTTATAGCCACATTCCATTTTATGTACTCATATCTCATGAAAAATGTTAACAGAATATAACTACTAACAAGTGTTTCTAATCTGGCTGGATAAAGTTATTATTATAAACTAAATGTGTTAGTTTGTTTCGGAAAAGGAAATACAGAGTATAGCGTATTCTATATGAATATGATTTTTTTGATGCCTATGAGTAACATACACAACAAGCATGAATTATAATATAAATCTCTAAGCGTTTTCCTTATCGCATTGTAACTGGAGAACTTGTTTTCTATCAAGAATATATGACGCCTTTGATTAATTTAGGTTTTCCAAAGCTCTAGTACTCTAGTAGTATTGATGAGAGCTGCGGTTTGTTCTTGAAGTCCATAATATGAAAATCCTATGAGGTGTTTGATAGAGAGCAAGAAGAACCTGGGCGGGAACGGGATTGGGCTCACTTCCGTGGGCCGGTTCTGGGCTAGGGATTATAGTTTTATTTATTTATAAAATTTATCGTTAAGTTTTAGTTGGGCCTATTATTAGTAGAGTGGTTAGTTAAGTTAAATTGGGCTTAATTAGGGTTTAAGTAATTTGGGCTTGATTAGGGTTTCTTGTAGAAGCTATTTATACCCCTTGCTAGGGTTCATTCTTACTATCTTGGAATAAAAGTGGGTTTAGCCTTTTGGCTCTGGGCAACGGTATTTATTTATCGTTGATTATCTGGGCAACGGTTCATCCCGTTTATTTTATTTATCTGCTACACATTAATTGGTCCGACCTGCCGGATCCCGTTTCCGCCGAAATGACTAGATCTAACACGGAGCGTTTGACGGAGGTGGAGGCCGAACAGGCCTCGATGAACCAGAAACTTGATGCGCTGAGTGCGCAACTGGGTGAGATCGCAGCCGCCCTGGCTGCGCTCACGACGGCAGGCGCAACTGGAGGGAAGGCGACAGCGGCGTTCGGGGCTTCGGCGGCGGCGATGACGTCGCAAATCGAGACGGCGGCCACCTTCAGCAGCGGCGGCGACTTCGAAGACCAGGGCGGCTTCGCCGCTTCTGGGCAACGTCCGCGAGTCACGCAAGAGGCGTTGCTTCCTTCGTTTGACGGGGCGGATCCCATTGGTTGGCTTGCTAGGGCAGAGCAGCAATTTGAACTGAGTTTTACGCCGCCAGAGAGGAAGGTACCAGCGGCTGTAGTCGCCATGGAAGGAGCAGCCTTGTACTGGGTAACTTGGTTAAGGAAGCGGAAACCTAGCATGATGTGGGAAGAGTTTACACAGGCACTGGTGGCGAGGTTTGACACACGGTTTACGGGCAGTCGTTTCGAGCGATTGTCCGGGGTCAAGCAGACAGGGACGGTGGAGGAGTATACCTCGATCTTTGTCCAGTTGGCGAGTCAGGTTCCTGGGTTATCTGACGATCATTACCTCGGGTATTTTATGAATGGACTAAAGGGACCAGTTCGGGGTTCGTTGCGGTTGCTGCGCCCGAATAGCTTGGAGACAGCCATGGAATTAGCTCGTGATGTGGAGTACAATTTGTCCGTCCAGCGTGGAGGAAGTGACAACCAGGATTATAATCCTTCAGGTGTACGTTCCAGTAGCTTTTTAAGGCCAAACACGAGCCCTCCGTTGACTGCCAGTGGTGACAACCTACAGGAATCAAGTGGCAGCTTCCCGAAGGATAGTGGACAACCCCCGAGGACAAAGTCAGGACTGTCCGGGCAGCCTACGACACGTTCTCAGTTCACTCGACTTCCGCCAAAGGAGTTCGCAGAATTGAGGGCTAAAGGATTATGCTTTAGGTGTAAGAAACCATTTACACCAGGGCATGACTGCCCCTTTAAGCAGTTGCGGGTAATGATAGCTGAGGAGGATGAGGAGTTGGACCTCCAGCAACATGAGTACTGTGAAATAACCGGCCGGGAAAAGGTTCCGGAAGGTGATGAAGGATATTTTCCAGTCTATTCCATGGTTGGAAATTTCAGTCCTCGACCAGCGAAATTACAACCTTGAGGACAAGGTTATTTGAAGGGGGATGGATTGATAGAGAGCAAGAAGAACCTGGGCGGGAACGGGATTGGGCTCACTTCCGTGGGCCGGTTCTGGGCTAGGGATTATAGTTTTATTTATTTATAAAATTTATCGTTAAGTTTTAGTTGGGCCTATTATTAGTAGAGTGGTTAGTTAAGTTAAATTGGGCTTAATTAGGGTTTAAGTGATTTGGGCTTGATTAGGGTTTCTTGTAGAAGCTATTTATACCCCTTGCTAGGGTTCATTCTTACTATCTTGGAATAAAAGTGGGTTTAGCCTTTTGGCTCTGGGCAACGGTATTTATTTATCGTTGATTATCTGGGCAACGGTTCATCCCGTTGATTTTATTTATCTGCTACACATTAGTGTTCTCCACAAATGATGTTTCAAGAGTAGGCAAAAGGTAATAATTTGTTACTGTACAGAGAAAGGTTCCTGAAATCATGCATGGATTTTCAAAAAAACATTAGCAAGCAAGAGAATGATGAAATTGGGGCTTTGCTCTTGAAGAAAGAGCTCCTACAAAGTGAAGTTCATTCCTTAAACACAAGAAATTCTGATCTACAAAACTCAATGGCTGCATTTGTGGAAGAAATTCTTGAAGATCTTCAGAATTCTGTTCATGGTACTTTGTTACTATGCTACAATAATCTTTACTTTCCTTCCATTTTTGGAATAACATAGAGCAGGTAGGTCAATATGTTGGGGGCATGTACGTTACTGACACAGTTTTCTTTGGCTTAATAAACAGGTCAATATATATGTTTGTATAGTTCCTTTTATATTTTTTTATGTTTAATCACAGAGTTTTTAAATTATTACTAAGGTTTACCAACATTTGGTGCTACATCACTACAAAAATATATGGTTTCCATGTTCTATGGCTTCTTTGTCCATTCTATTTGTATATTCAGTTAGCTCTATTTGTCAGATAGTTGATTTAGTTTTGAAAGTAGAACTACATAAAAGTCTTTGGGTAGTTTGTGGAATCAAGTTCTCACATAACTTCATGGATAATGATACAAGTACGAGGGAGAGGGTCATGGAATGATAGAATTATTTCAAATTCTCTCACCTTCATGGCCTCCTCGTTTATTCATTTGGGGGCAATGTTGAGATAATTTTACTGCTTGCTAAATCCCTCCCTAAAATGTATTGTGCTGATTGGTATTATCTGAAGTTCTCACCAACTTCATTGCATTATAAAAAATAATAAACATTTACTGGAAATTAATTTCTGCCAACTCTGAAGTGCAACTTATTATGACATGCAGCTCTAGAGATTGACATAAGAATTCGAGAGAATGAAAAAGAGAAATTGATGAAGGATATTGATGAATTGAAGAAGACATTGATTCAGCTATGCCAATGTGATAAATCTTAGTAAGCTTTTTCACTTCTTATTGTATTGGCACTTCTCTTACAGTACAACCTTGGGCCCAGTGCCCATTCACTTGCAAACAATCTAGATGTAGCAGAAGGGAAAATTATTTAGTCAATAAGAGAGCAGAAGTTCAAAGTAAACCCTAGGGAGTCTTGGGGTCCCTAAATAATCCAACGCTCTACCAATATCTATACTCACTCTTCCCTTAACATCTGTGACGTTCAACAAGCCAATGCCTGTTACTTGTTAAGCTGTGTGCATCCAAGCATTGTTTATTGATCCTGGATAACGAGTACTACTCTCAACTTGATCATATATTTCCTTGATTGTTGCTTGATATAGAATAATTCAGCAGCTTGAAGTCAAAGGACCAGCGTTTACTAAAGCTTATTCCCATGTTAGTTAGTTTATGAAAAGTTGTTTCAACTCTCAAATGTATGGTGGGCATTTCACTTTCAGCTTGATTTTTTTGGTTTTCGATTCAAAATGATTTGCGAGAATGATTACCAAATAAAACCATATTATGTTTATGTTTGATACGATTCGATTTGGATACTTTCTAAAAGGTTTTATTATTATTTTAGTTCCATTCGGTGATATGTGGTTTTCTACGTTTTCGGTTCGATTTAATACCGTTTTAAAGAAATTTAACCAAATTGAAATCAAATTGTGGTTCAAATACTCTGTTTGTAACTAAGTTTGTAGTTTGAATTCATGAGTTTTTATGTTAAATAGCTTTTTTATTGGCTCTTTTTAAAAAAAATTATTGGCTTTCAAAGTATACCTACATATTAATGATGCAGCGTTCATTAGGGTAAAAGAGTATTTTATCATTCAACTATTGAACATGTTTGACAATATGAGGTTGACACTAAATGGTTAGCGGGTTATATTAGCAGATTATTGATAGCGGGTTTGATTAGAGAATGGTGTTGGCGGGCTACAAAAAAGTGTTTGGTAATTTAGTTTTTGGATGTAGCGGTTATTAGGCAAGTCCTACTTCAAACCATCAAGCTCAAAATGGTGCTATTTGCAACATTTCTATGTCACCAATTCTTTCCAAGAATGCCAAGACCGAATATTATTTACAAAACAACATGGATCAGAGGGGTCCACGGATTAAAAATGCTAAAAATGAAGAAATCGGTGTTTTTTTATAACTAAAATGTCATTTTCTAAACACACAATTAAAAAACAGGAAAAATAGAAGTTAATTTGTGACGAGCAGGAACTTACTTCCAAAACTGGGGAGTGTATGAATTGAACTAAGATTTTCCCCATGGAGTATTTGCACTCCACCCTTTATTATTTCCAATGAACAAACACCCTAGGATGAGGTATAAAGTTAAAAATTAAAGTAATCATGAGGCGGCGAGGCGCCATAAAATTACCCACCCTTGGTGCTAAGTGGTTTGTGTTTAAAGAATGGGTGGTAAAACTTTTTGTGCAAAGACCATTATTCCCTCAAGACAACTGTTCAAAATATGGATTTTTGTGCTTTTTGAGAGAGATGTTAGTTGTCACACCAAGGGTCCAGCTTTGTGAATAGCATACCCCATCCCATGTTTGAGTGAATATCTATTGATTCATATCTCAAACATCTATTCAATGTAAAGTTGGGTGATCATTTGGAGTGTTAATAAACCCAAATTTTGGAGTATTACCCCATTTCCATGTGCAGGCGCGTGGATGAATTGGTGCATTTGACTCGTTTGGGGCGGAGATGTGAAAAAAAAAGATGACATCCCATCCCTGAGGGCCCCCAACTCCGACCGGATGGTACGTTGAAAGGATGTAAATTGGACTATAATCTCAATCTGACAGATAGAGAGTGGGCTCTGTCCTCGGTACTTCTAGAAGCCCTATGCATTTTTAGCATAGTAACTCCTCATCGCAGTTGACGGGATTCAAACCCGGAACATAATCCTTGTTACACTCCCTTGCTACCAGTTGAGTTACGCCCACTAGTGGGGCGGAGATATGAGATACCCAATGTCCACCCCTATTCAGCCCTCACTGCCACTTTGTGCAATAAAAGGAGCCCACTTGCTGGGCATCTCAGCCTTAAAAGAATAATGTTCCAATTCTCTCATTTGTCATTTAAAAAGAATCTAGTTGTGTATACATACATAATTCATCTCGAAATATAAAAGCTGTTTGTGTAAACAGGTAAAATGTACGAATGGTGTACAAAAAGGTATGCACTAAGAGTCCATTTCGTGAGCGTATTTTTTTATGTCGCGGGTTGAATTGTGTAATAATACAAAAAAATTAAGGTTGAAGTTATTTTTCTAACCGTATTAAGTGAAGTTGATGTAGAGGGTAATTTTAGCTATTTGAATATATTTTTTATATATTTTAATAATAGAATATATTTTGAATATAATTTTTACATAAATCAATAGAATAAGTCAATTTTGGTATTACTAAATGGGCTCTAAGCATTTTTTATTCCTAAAGAGTAGGAAAACATTGCAATTTTTTTCAAATAGGAGTTACATTATTTTCTTTCAATATAGGACTCATGCACTCCTATTTAGGGAATTCTTTATTCTTGTATTCTTTTAATATGATTAAATATGAATTTTATCAATTAATAACCTCAAAGATGGACGAACTATATATACAGGACCTGAAAGATTATGTGTCTGTATATGACTCGAAAGATTAAAATATGTCAATCAAAGACTTAAAATTCGAAATGTTTTGATTTATTTAATTTTAATTAATTCCATTGTTAATTTTTGATGAACTTTTCTTCACAAAAATTTATTAGTTTAATAAAATTAAATTGTATTTAAAATTTTTAAAATAAAAAATACTCCCTCTGTCCCAAATTGAATTACAAAATTTGACTTTTAAGGTCAAACTAACTCATTTTATTCACTTAATTAAGATATCAATTCTTAATTAAATTTTAATTAAGAATTTGCAACTTTATAAAGATTTTAATCTAGTTTCTGAATATGTAAATTTTAATTATTAAAATTGAATTAATTATCAATAGGGAGGATTTAACTTTAAGATGGGTTGACCAAAAAAATGTTGACTTTGGAAAACAATTTGGGATAAAAGTAGTAATAAAAATCTTGACAGTTTAGGTCATAGATTAATAGTTCTCAATCATTCGAGTTCTATAATGTTACATTTCATCTTTCAAGTTCCAGATTGATCGTTAATGTAGCTTTCAAATTTTGAAGGGATGAAATTCCGATTAAATTAATCCTATTTAGTCCAATTTTAGAACATTACATATATTTCACTCCTATTTTGTCCGGTTTCTATTCTTTTTGCTATACGTTGAAGAAATACATGTTGATTAACAAAAACGTGTCCTATTTTGTGTGTTTGGGAGTAGGGACGCACCGGATTTGCCGATTCTGGACGAACCAGAACGGGTCTGGCACTATTTGGGAATGACCTGAGACCGGTTTTATAGTTCCGGTCCAAGACCGCCCCCTCCCCCTCGGGCTTTGTTGCCTCATCCTAGGTAGGGTTGGACTCGGGCCGGGCCTAGTCCCGGTCGGGCCGGCGGTTCTATATAGCTGGACCCGGGACCGGCCCGGGTAGCCACCGGGTCCGGTCCGGGCCTCGGGTTTGGTTATTTTTTTTTTTTGCTTAGCTACCCATCCCTTACCCCCTCCCCCTCACCCCCACCCCCCAAACCCCTCCTAAACATCAAGCCCAACCCGGTGGAGCCCAAACAAATGAAAAAACCCAAAAAAAAAATAAATTTGGCCCGAACCGGGCCGGGCCTTGTTATGGGTGACCCGAGCCCGGACCGGAAACCCACCGGGTCGGGCCTACCCGGACCGGTCACTGACCGGGCCACCGGTTCGGGCCGGGCCGGAACAGTACCGGTCCCGGGCCGGTTCCGGGTCAGACCACCCGACCCGAGTCCAACCCTAATCCTAGGTACCATTTTCCCGACCAGGACTGGTCCGATCCCCAACGATTTTTTTTTTGTTTTTCATTTTGTTCGAAACCGGGACTAAGATTAGATGGCCCGGTCTACTTGACCCGAACCAGAACCTCTTGATACCGGGCCGGTCCTAGGTCTCACTTTATTTTGGGCAAAGACGGACCGCTCTCGCCACCGGACCAAACCAGATGGGTACATGGCTATGGGGAGTGATAGATAGACAAAAGGAGTTAATTCTCTTGAAATAAGAGGGTGTGGGTTAGAAGAATATAATGAACAAAGGTTGTCTGGCCAGCTGCAGACACAGACCATACATATGTCTTGTGAAGTTCACATGCTCTCTAATATTTTTTGTTGCTAAGTTGTTTGGCAGCTTCCATTATATTACAACAACAACCTCTGTGTATGGGAAATAAAAATAAAAAGTCTAGATCGGACCCACTTGATATGTATAATGCCCTTGGATTTCAAAATTCAGATGTGTATAATTAGTCATTTATTACTTAAGCAGATTCTCTGTACTTCATTGGACTGGGAGTTATGTAACGTGCTTTTTTCCTACTTCACGTGCCCACTTATTTAATACAATTGTCACGTTCCACACTACTACTGCTCATAGTTTAAACTTTGAAGCATGTTATCGTCCAATACTTTGAACTATTTGAATAGGAAATCCAAGAATCTGAGATGCCCGCATTAAAAACCAATTAAATTGAGTTTAAATATTAGCGGGGTGAATTAAATATGAAAAATGAAAAAAGTTAGGCATAAAAACTTAAGCAAAATAAGTTACATGTGCTTCAGCCCACCCTATCATACCCTTAGTATGAAAAATGAAAAAATTACACTATAAAAATTGAAGCAAAATAAGTTACATGTGCTTCAGCCCACCCTATCATACCCCGAGTATGAAAAATGAAAAAATTACACTAAAAATGGAAGCAAATTAAATTACATGTGTTTCAGCCCACCCTATCATACCCCGAGTATGAAAAATGAAAAAATTACACTATAAAAATTGAAGCAAAATAAGTTACATGTGCTTCAACCCACCCTATCATACCCCGAGTATGAAAAATGAAAAAATTACACTATAAAAATTGAAGCAAATTAAATTACATGTGCTTTAGCCCACCCTATCATACTCGGAGTATGAAATAAAAGACTTCTTTCAACTGTAAAATTGTCATTTTCTTAGTTATTATTATTCATATAAGTAAAAATGCATATGTAGAAGGGAGGGGCTGTCATTTGTTGGTTTTAGCCTTTTAGGGTCCGTTTTGTGGTCGAAAAATGCCAGAGAAAGAAAGCGAAGAGGAAAGTTTAGAAGAAATTCACAAAGAAAGAAATAAAAGTATAATTTGAAACTTAATAAATTAGTGTTTATTACTGTTTTTTACTATTCTAATGTTATACTCCGTACGTACGTACTTTCACCGTTTCTTGTTAGGGGTAATTAACTTATTTTCACATTTATCAACACACAATTTTGACGTCAATATATTTAATTGTATATTAGTATAAAAAACAAAAGATCAGATTTTGAAAAGTTATAATGGGATGAATCCAATATTATTTTCAAAAAATCTCATACATTAATAAATGAAATGTAGTCAAAAAATAAAACATTTAAATCTAGAATGTTACTCCCTCCGTCCCAATTTGATTTGCAAAATTTCCTTTTTTGGTTGTTCCAAAATGGTTTTCCACTTTCTATTTTAGGTATGTAAATAAGAATAAAGTGACAAATATACCTCTACTCTTACTTTTCCCCATTATCTTAAAGGCACCTACTTTTAGAAAGATGGGCAAAAGAGTAAAAAACAAGCTTCATTTATTGTCATTTCTTAATCTTTGTATCGGTTAAAGTTTGCAATTCAATTCGGGATGGATGAAGTATAACATAAAAGGAATCTAGGATGTATAAACACTAAGAAGCTAGAAAAGTAAAAAACATAGGGTTAGTGAAAAGAGTTTTGCTAGGAGTATCTCAAAATGTACCCAATTTTTACCCCAATCCTTAATGTGTGGTCATAAATGGGCCAATTCATTTAAGTGGTACCCCATTTAAATGAATTGCCCCATTTATGGCCACACATTAAGGGGTGGGGATAAAAATGGGGTACATTTTGGGGTACCTTTAGCATTTGTGTAGTTGAGCCATATCACTTTTATTTAGGTACGTACGAATTGACTAGTTGAGCCCCATTAACACTTGACTTTGATTTTGTCTCATGCAAGACCTACTCGATCTACGGATATGCAAACACTAGAAATCCATTATTAGATTTGTACCATAATTAAACAAATTAAGATCTCTTCCACACTTTCAATATAAACATTGGTGAGTAATTCCATCTTGAGCTTTCATGGTGAAATTGATGAATTTTTTATGGTAGTAACTGAAATAATTGAATTTACTAAATTATGCAAAAAAAAACATTATAAATATATATATTGTATAAATAAAATCAAGAAAAACTTATATGAAAAATAACTAAAGTGACTCTCTACAATAACTCCAGTCAGAAAAGAAGCGTTAATCTTACTTATTTCATTACTTATTTTCATCATTACATAATTCAACATGTAGAATCAAAAATCATGTATTTGATAAAAAAGTTGATTGATAACTCTTGTTCATTTAGAAAGTGTTTTCAAGGACCGAAACTTTTGAATTTGGTTTGATTTAGTCTAGTCTTACTCCAAATTTGTTTAAGTCTGATCGAAGTGGAAGGGGGGATGATTTCCTTGTGTGTGATCATGTCGGTGCTTCATAATACACTAGGGATTACTAGCTAATGGTTGGGGTAATGGTAGCAATTAAGCGTTGCTGGGTTTGACAATGAAAGTTTAACGGGATGTGGCCGGCCGACTTCCTAATTGAAAAGGTACTGTGTCGTCTTAATGGAATGAAGGACCAAACACTGTGTGGGGAGGGAGGCATGGGGCATGGGGCATGGGGCACCAAATGCCTATAGCCAGCCTGTATAACTGTTCATTCTTGATACTAGCTGAATCAACAACTAATTTAATCTTACTAGCTACCTCATTAAACCTCTGGTAATTAAGTGGTATATGCAATGCATCTAATTATAAGAAAATCCCCAAAATATGACTACAAACATTGCAACATTCCAGAATATGGGTACTATATATTTTCTTCTAAAATAGAAGTAATTTATGAGGTGTTTTGATCCACTTTTTAAAACTGTTTCTTCTAAAACTTTATGAGAGAATACAAGCACATATAGGTGTGTTTTGGTGAAAAATGCAAAACCGTTTCTCTCAGAAACAATTTGTTTAGAAGTTGAGGGAGAGTAGCATTTCGAAACTGGTCCTGATTCTACGTCTGATTTTAGCAACAAAAAAAGCAGAAGCAGAACCGTTTGCAAACAGCCTCTTACTATCCTACTTTGGCATTACTGATCTTTGAATATGGTTGCATACGCCCAAACACCATCTTTCAGGGGTATGAAAATAATGGAATAAAATACTTCATTTGTCCCATGTAGTTAGTCATTTTAGACATTTTGAATGAATGATGTTAAACTATTACTTCTTAGTTTGTTAAAAATACTATAATAAAAGTATATAATTTATAACTTCCTAATAAGTATATTATGTATGTTAGTTAAAATGAATGATCAAGATTTACCATCATCGATTAGAGAAGTCAATAATAACTAAGGATACTTTTAATTTGACTGAAATTTTCTGGCGTGATCTGAATTGGTCTGATCTTGTAAATGCCTGGTATCTGTTTATCTTATAACTATCCAAATCTGATCTCTTTTCTGCTTAAATCTAATATGGCCTGGTTCGATTTATTTAAATCTAGTCTGGTTTAAGACTGAATACAGTCCAACTAAAAGGAGGGAACTAAGGATGTTTTTACTTAGATTGTTTTCTGTCCCAACCAGACCAGACCCGAATTGAACAGATCAGACTAGAGCAGACGTTTACCATACCATATCAGACCAGACTTAAACAGACCGTATCAGACTTAAACAGATCAGACCAGAGCAGACCAACAAATTAAGGTTCAAAAAAACATTCTAAAAATATAATGATCATGTTTTGAAATTTCAACTTTTTAATTCAATTTAGCTAAATTTGTTTTGATCAATTAATTGCCTGTCTTTCTCTGTTTCTTTTCCCCCGGCCCCCCTTATCTGGGACTATACGCAGTATATAAGAAAGAGGGATGCATGGGTCGTTGCAGATCAATTATATATTGACCGCATCATCCATCATAGACGGCGTAACGGCGGGCGGCTCAGAAAATTGAATTAAAGTGCGGGCATATGAACATGCGGTGGCGGCAGCAGAGTGGCGGTGGTTCTGATGACGACTCATGTATTATGCGGCCGGGAGAAGGCGGTTGTGGGGTTATAAATAAGAAGGCGCAGAAGGCGGCGTTTTCTAGTAAGGGGCGGGGGCGCCGCCGCGGATTTGGAGTGCACATCAAAGAGCAAAAGGGGAGGTTGTTTATTATCAGACGATGCATCGTTATGCTCATCTGCTGGCAGGATTGATTCACTCATTCATTCATATATATATAGCAAGTAGCAAGCTTCAATTCAATTTCCACCTATTCTAGCTTCAGATTCTCCGTGTATATATGATCGGATCAGAGAGGTGGATGGATCCAGTTCAAATACTTGGATTGATTTTTTCTTTTTTTGTCCGTGTTCAGCTGTTCTAGGCATTTCCTTTTCCAGAGCAGCTTAGTAATTTGATGAACATGGATTTCTGATAGGTTTTAATTTCTTGCACTTTGATTCAAACTAACTGAATGTTTAATGTTGATGACTTTTCTACAGTACAGAATCACTTTCTAGCTCCAAAGATTCATTCGCAATCTTTTAAAAAGTGATGTCAAATTATGGGGTGGAAATGACCTCATTCTCAAATGTGGTGTCTTTTTATGCTCCCTTCTTCCCATTATTAAATTCACAATATGATTACCAAAGTTGTAGATATTTAAGATCACAATTTTGAGAATATCTTGATCTTTTTGTTGCACGGGATTTAATAATATATTCGTACGATGCTTTCTTCACCAATTACGGAATAAAAATAAATTGATAACCGTCTAGCATTTCTACCAAACTACTATCATCAATTTAGAAAATCATATTTTGTGTCTCTTAGAATTATGAAATAATGATAAATATATGATCGAAGTACAGAGGTAATGGATAAAAATAGGACTTAATAATTACCGTAATAACTTTAGTGATCGTGGTCGTGTTCAACTCTAACACTTTTAGTGACTACGCGTTGTAACTGTAGTAATATTCTTTCCTATATTTTGTTAATATTTGTGGAAAAATCCCTTTTAGATGAAAAAAAGTGTAAAAAGAAAAATAAATAAAATTGAAGAAAAACAAAATAAATGGGGTGAAAATAAAAAAAGAGACAGAGCAAGTCCTAAAATGGCGGAGCTCGCTCATCCGTCACACAAGACCAACGGTACTCCGAATGCGGCAAGAAGGAAAAAATAACAAATGTATAAATAAATAAAATAAAAAAAATATTTGTCAATTGTCTTCCCTCATGATTTAGCAGAGCTTCATACCGCCCTGTATATAATATCAGGTTCCTATCTCTTTCCCTTCGTTAAATTCCATTCCTTTTGCTGTAAAATGTATCTTTCTTGATGGAGTTTGAAGAATTTCACCTGTGGGCACGTTTTATTTGTTCTTCATTTTATATAATCATTTTTTGTATTCTACATTGCGGAATTGTGCATGCCGTTTTGTTCTTCATATGATTGGGGACCTAGATTTTCTATTCAAGGCCAAAACAGTACTTCTTTTTAAATATTTTGATGCATATACCTTAATAGTTACAAATAATGTTAATAATTTATATTTATATGTGGTTTTCATTATTTTTAAAGAAGAAATTTTGTTTATAAGTATACCATTAAATATAAATTTGGATTTCATGGGCATAGAGTTTCAATTTTCCTTTGAACCAACCCAAAAGCTATTAAGATATGAAAAAACTGTAGTTCGGAACTTCCATAGTTTTCATAGTTCTTATCTATTTGTTTTTCACTTATAAACTTCTATAAACACTCTATTTTTCATTAGCCATTTTCAGGGAGTCAGTAGTCCTACATTTCTATTAAGTAATGACATATGTTTATAATAGAATTCTTACCTAGAGTTCCAAGAACATAATTGGATCATAACTTTGTCAGAGAACTTGAATATGTTAACGGGTTTCATATTTTTGTTATTCTTTTAAATAATAACACATACATACACAATGTATTCAATCCAAAGTGTTATTAACACATCTTCTTCCTTCAACTTTTTGATGTGCAACTTTAACATGTAGTATTGCTCTTACTCTTAGTCGTGTTGTGTAGATGAGCTGTAGTTGTCCAGCATGAACTCTGTAGCAACTCGCCCAATCAAGGACTATGGTAGAGTCAGCGACTCAAGCATATCTATTACTTGTCGTGTATTTGAACCATCTTCAAGTAGTAATGGTGAGGTCATCAAACATGGAAAGCACAATACTTTGTGTTTGACATAATTTCTTGATTAACCTAAGTTTCTTGTTGCCTTGCCCTACTCCCTTCTCATGCAGCTAAGCACCGGGCTACGGTGTTGGAATGGTTAAATGATACCCTTCCTGGTTTGAGTTTGCCTATAAATGCTTCTGACGAGGAACTTCGAGCATTCTTAGTTGATGGCAGTGTTTTGTGTCAACTACTGAACAGGTTGGAACCTGGTTCTGTGATAGAGGTAAATACAATTTTGCTGTCTTACTTAGGCCAAACCATACCGAAAAATTGAATCCATTGTACGGAGTATTAGTTATTTCAACATGAAGTTTTATAAAACATTATTTTCTCAATTGACACTTGAGCTAAGTCACATTTTAACACAAGATGTTGTTAGTCATTTTCTATATAGGACACTTGGATCAGACCACACTTGGGACTCTAACACTCCCCTCAAGTGGTTGCTCTATAAGAAAATAGAATGTGGGATTTAATTGGAGTCTTACTACTCGACATAAGACATTAGGGACAAACTATACTAAAAGATTAAATCTTAACTAACATTACTAGTACGCACGATCTTATTGAATCATTATCTCTTTACTTGTGTGATGTGCGACTGAGATGGTTTTATTTCAAAGTATGATGCTTGATATTCCTATATCTGCGTTCTCATCTAGGATGATGGCTCTGGCCATTCATGGGAATCGCGCTCACAAGATGTTAGGAGATTCTTATCTGCTATGGATAAAATGAGACTACCCAGATTTCGTCCATCAGACTTAGAATATGTGAGTCATTTGATAGATTTTTTGCTTTCTTTGCAAGACAGTTTAGTAACGAGTATTTATGCTCAATTGGTCATAACGAGTTTGTGCAAGAGTCTTTTGTGTTTATTTTCATATGTTCTCTTTTCTATAACTGCTACTATGCTACATTTCCAGGGGTCTATGAAAATTATTGTTGACTGCCTTTTAACACTTAAAACACATTTTGTGCCAAGTGTTGGAGAATACAAAAATTTGAATATGCGTACATCCAATCTATCCGGAAATGCTTCAAATATAAGATGGAAGGGGTTGGGTGAACATATTGGATATGATGTTTCTCCTCCTCAAAGACAAGAATCTTGTCGATCTAATTCATCACAATCTTCTAGGCGTGCATCGCACAGTCCTGTGGTGGCTGGTACTGTTAGTTTACATGCATCCTTCTTTTAGTTTATATATCTGTAAACTTCATCCTTTCTTTATTTGTTGCAACCGTTTTACTTTCGAACTTTTCTCATATCGCACTCAACCATTTTTTTTTTCATTAGTGTATAAAAATATGATGGAATAAAGCAAAATCGCTCACTAAACTGTTTGCGCTTCTTTATTATGAAGTAGCAGTCAGTTTATGCAATTTCCAATGTGAATTTCATAATGGGTCATCGGGAAACAGTCTCTCTATGCTTTAGTACAGGGGTAAAGCTACGCACATCCGACCCCCCTTACCCCACCGTAGGTGGGAGCCTTTGCGGTGCTGGGGTAATGTTGTTGTATGTTGTTGTTGTAGTGCATAAAAAAATTATATGTAGTAGTATACAAATGTCCTTAAAATGGTTATAATGGATATTTTCAAAAAGACAACTTATCTATAGTTTTTTATTAAATAATTTTCTAGGCCAAATATTTCGTGAAAGTCAAGCTCTAGTAACTATTTTGCTACTAAAACTAGTTATAATTAGAGTAAATTACCTCAATAGGAGTAAAATAGTACAAAAGTGCAAAAATAAGACCTGAATGTTTCGTAGGAGCTAAAGATAAGGGTGTGACAAAATTACCCTTAATGATAGCATGGTTTCTTTATTAATTATTTAAACAAAATAATACGGAGTAAAACAAAATATTACAGTGGACAAACAAGTAGATGGCACAACCGCTACCCTAGGGCACAACCACCACATCTCTACTGCCGCCACTGGCCGTAGTCGCCGCCGTCAGCCGCTGTCGCCGTCGGTCTCTATCGCCGTCGGCCGCCTCATCAAACGTTGTTGTCGCTTCTGCCACACCCTATCGGCTCATCTGCCGCCGCCACACTGTTGCTGCCGCCGCCACCACCACCGCCTTCGTTGTTTCTGCCACCTATTCCGGTGAGGCAGTGGCGGAATTTGTTGTAAATCTCTAATGTAATTGTTATTTACATAATATATTATGACTTTCAAGATCCAAAATATGGCATTTTGAGATTAAAAAATCATGAAATTTTTAGATAAAACATGGCATTCACTGCCACAAAAACATGGCATTAAAATTAATATTTATCCATAAAGTTAATTAGTGCCATAAAATGGAACTAATTACCAAACGATTAAAACATGGCAGTGCCTAATAATGGCATTAAATGGCAATTTTCAAAGCAATACTTGCGTTTCTATTTTTGACGAAGCAATACTCGAGTTAAAAAAGATTATGTCATTTTGTGATTTCAGATGATTAGAAAAAGTACTTCTATTTTTAAAAAGTTGAAACCAAAAAGTTCCGATAACCATTGTTGAATTGAAGCCTTGCCTTTTCATATTCAAAATTTTAAGATCTAAAATGTAATTTTTTATTTCAAGATCTGAATAAAAAAAAGAATCTGGAGAGTGGAGAGTAAAAACAGAGGGTAAGGAAAGGAGATTGAGGATGAGTAGATGAAGAAGACAAAGAACAAACACGAATCAATTATCTCATAACTGGAATGGCGATCAGAAATCATTGAAGAGGGACGAAGTTGGTGGAGGTTGAACTGGTAAAGAGTGGCGGCGAAAGTGAATGAACAATTGACAGAAATGAAGGAAGATTTGGGCGGAGAAGGTGAAGTAGAGAGGAGATGGGAAAGGAAAGAGGGGAGATGTGCGTGAGAATGGGGAGAGAGGGAGACATGGGTAAGAATGAGGAGAGAGGGGCAAAACCGGAAGACTATCTAATTTAGTCCTATTTGGGGAATAAATTAGGGAGTACTCCTATTTAGGAACTTTCCCATTATTTTAGTCCTATTTAGGGCAAATACTAATAACTATTATAATTATGGTTACACAATTTCTTTTCAGATTACATAAAATTGAGCGGTTACACAATCTCTTTATCACATTTTAATTGATGTTCTTACAATTAAGATGTTTTTTGCTTCAATTCCAAATATATTTCTCTTTGTTCATTTTCCTTGTGCAGATCCATCTTCTGCATTGTTGCATCAAGTTGGGAATACATTCAAAGAAGTGTTTCAGGGTAAGCACGGAAGTTGTGTCGATCGGCTACCATCAAATATTTCAGAGTTGAAGAGATCAAACAGTTTGGATGTGAGTTCAACACGGACCCTTTTGCTGTTTAAGAACCATATTATTCTTTTTTATATATTTGACCAGTTCATCAAAGCGCCTGACACAAGTGTTTTTTCATTCCATGACTTATTCTCTCATTTATTTTCTTGTCTTAGAATGCTCCCACACACTCTCTTTTAAGCTTCGTGAATGGAATTATAGATGAAAGCATTGAACGGAAAAGTGGAGTACCAGAAGTATGAAATAACATGTTCTTGTTGGATTGCAAAGCATTTATGTTTAGTTTGATTGTTTTCATACGTGTCATCAATATAACAAGCTCTCTTAACACACTATTTACTTATTCCACCACCAGCGTGTAGCCTTGCTGTTCAGGAAAGTGGTGCAAGAGACAGAAAGGCGGATATCTACACAAGCTGAACACTTGAGAATGGTATACCATGCTATTCATTGGCTTTTACTTTAATGTTTTGTGTTTTAATGTTCAATATGAACTCATTATACTTCTTTTTTCTACTTGAAGCAAAGTGATATGTTCAAAGCTCGTGAAGAGAAGTACCTATCAAGAATTAGAGATCTGGAAGCCCTTGCAACAGGCGTCGATGAAGTGACAAAGGAATTAGTAAGGAATCAATCTAGTTTCTTTAGAATAAACATAGTTCAAGTTTTTCTTTCTTTGGAAGATTCTGCCCTTCACTTTCTTAATAGGAACATATAGTTAATCAGAAGAAATATATTATTAAGAATTTAAGACTCGGATCTCATATTTAAAGAGTTAAACTAATAGGAGTAGTTCAAGTAGTAGTCTACGACTTTATATATAGAGTGTATCTTTACAATTGCCAGATGTGGGATGACGTAACACATCCCCAAAAGGTTGTGTCTCATTGGAGCATATCAATCTTAAAATCCTTCTTCTCTTTTTTACCCTTAGTCGGATCGAGTTGTTTGTTTGAGCGTAATAGCTTTCATACCATAGAGGTTCCATCCTTAGGTAGACTGATAAGTTGAAAAGATATGTGGATTTTAAATTTCTCTGGCCTGTGTAGAATTACTTAACACTTGGTTCACCTTTATTTGCAAAAGTGTTCACTTATTAGGCATATTCAGCTTCCATACAATCAGCTATTTTCCTTCCTTACTGATCAGAACTTTGTAATATTGTTATTATTGGTAGCAGAAAATATCATTTCAATCGCTGAATTCTTTTGATGTTTTACTACGTATTTCATTTATAAAAATATTTCTTTTTAATTAAATCAATTTACAGAGTGACAAGAAAAAGACGGAGGAGAAAATGAGAACTACAGAACATGGTGGTGCTCTATTGAAGATGAATGATATCACCACTCAAGAAGACATTGGAGCTTCAAGGCTAGAACTTGAAGCAGCTCAAAGAAGTAATGAGCATAACTCAGATGTGAGAACAAATGAATATGCAGTGGTTAGATCGGTGAAGAGAAACAGTGATAACTTGCAAAGGATTGCAGCTTTAGAGAAAGAACCACCAGAAGCTTATGAAGAGGCCCACAAAATTATTAAGCCTGAAAACAATGATACTCATGAAGAGATTGCAGTTCTAAAACAAGAACCAGAAGTTCATCCAGAAGCTTATAAAATACAAAGTGATGTGGCTCCGTTGATGAAGGAAAATGATGCAGCAAATCAAAAAATTGCAGCTTTGAAGCAAGAACTTGAGGCAGATCGAAAAGCCTTTGAGCACTGCTCACAAAACAATAATAAAGATGATATCACTAAATTGGTGAAAGAAAAGGAAGATTCTAACAAAATGATTGCAATTTTGAAGTTAGAGCTTGAAACGGCTCGAAAAACTTATGAACAGCAGATCTCACAAATGAAAACTAATGAGCACGTCGTGGTTAGATTGATGAAGGAAAAAGATGATGCTTATCATGAAGTTGCAGTTCTAAAGCAAGAAGTTGAAGCATCTAGAAAATCAGTTGAACAGCACAACCCACAAATGGATAAAAGTGAAAATGATCTGGTTAGATTGATTAAAGAAAAAGATGATGCCATTCAAGAGATTGCCTCTCTAAAGAAAGAGCTTGAAGGTGTTAAAAAATCATATGAAGAACACTGCTTGCAGATGAAAACAGAAGAAAGGGATGTGGTAAAGTTGATGAAAGAAAAGGATGATTCAAATCAAGAAGTCGATAGATTGAAAAAAGAATTTGAAGAGACTAAAAGAAATTATGACCAGCAGTGCTTACAAATGAAGACAGAAACCACTGGAGCTCAACATGATCTAGAGAAAAGGTTAAAGCAAATTACAAGCCTTGAGGAAAGATTGAAGAAAGTTACTGAACATTTTTCAGAATCACAAAAAAGAGTGAAGGAACTTGAAAAAATTTCAGAAGAAAAGTCTCAAAAGTGGAGTAAAATACAACACATCTACCAAATATTCACCGAATTCCAGCTTGGAGCACTACGTGTATGCTTTGAATTTTCTCTCTCCATTGTATTTCCTATTTTATATCATTTTAAGTTAAATACATTTGCTGAGTTCAGGAACTCAAGTTTTCTTCCCAATCAGTAAAGTCAGAAGTTGTTAAAACACAAAAGACTTATTCAGATGATTTCAATCAGTTAGGTAAACACTAGTGCTTAGCAATTGTTATCAACATGGACTTTTAATTCAAAATTTAATATAACGCACTGCTCTTTTGAAATTTTTATATTTCAATAGGCGCGAAAGTGAGGTCATTAGAAGACGCAGCTGCAAATTACTCTGTAATTCTTGCTGAAAACAGGAAGTTACACAATGAGGTCCAGGAGTTAAAAGGTGCCAGTTTATGATTCATATATAAATTATATGTGACATGGAAGATGATTTACCCTTTTAAGTTTTAACTGATTGTCCTCTAATTCTCTCATGGGTGTTTAATATTTTAGGAAATATTAGAGTATATTGTCGTATTAGGCCGTTTCTTCCTGGACAAAAGGACAAGCAAACAATTGTTGAATATATTGGTGACAATGGTGAGCTAATTGTTGTGAATCCTTCAAAACAAGGAAAAGAGGGTCGCCGTTCATTCAAGTTCAATACTGTATATGGTCAATCTGCAACACAAGGTTTTACAACAATTTTCAGCATCATGCATGACATTTGGTCATGTGGACTTTTCATCTTTTTTATTTTTACGTTCCGTTCCATCTCTATAATGATCAAGAGACTTGACTTTTGGTCAAAATTTGCAGCACAAGTATATGCAGATATACAGCAATTGGTACAGTCAGTCTTAGATGGATACAATGTGTGTATATTTGCATATGGTCAAACAGGATCGGGGAAAACATACACTATGGTAAGAAACTCATTGTATTGTAAGTAGTATTTTTTTTTTGTTAAGTTGCTGCTTTTAAGATATTGCCGAGTACAATGAGATCGATCAACAGACTGGTCCTGATGGAGCTACAGAAGACCAATGGGGAGTCAACTATCGTGCTTTAAATGATCTCTTCCGAATTTCACAAGATAGAGGGAGTGCTTTCTCATATGAAATAACTGTGCAAATGGTGGAAATATATAATGAACAAGTTCGTGACTTACTGTCTAATGATAGCTCTCAGAAAAGATATCCTTAACCAAATAATGATCTCTTTAGAGTGGCTAAACGAAAGAATAATAGCAAATAATGATAACAAATCCATCAATATATTTTTTTCTTTCCTACACGAAATAATAGCAAAAATATGATATTTTCGTAGTGACCAAACTGATGTTGTATTTTACATTTCCGTTACCATGGACCATATAGCCATTTTTGTCGATGAATTCTATTTTAGTAATAATAGAAAAAAAAAACCTTTATTTACTTCTCCGTAAATTTGCAGTCTATGATTATTTGATGTCAAAACATTTGTTTTCCTTAATGTGCACACACTTGGGGTTTTGACAACCTCCCAACCCAATGGGCTAGCTGTCCCAGATGCTAGCATGTTTCCAGTTAACCAACCCTCTGACGTGTTGGATCTAATGAATATTGGATTAAAGAGCAGAGCCAAAAGTTCAACTTCGATGAACGAAAGAAGCAGCCGTTCACACAGGTTCGTCATTGGAAATAAAAATATCTCATCATTCTTAATATATCTGTCTTGCTAGTGTAGAATGTTAAATTAAGATTATAATTCCTACTCATCTCAACAGCATTTTAACCATTCATATACGAGGGACGGATAAGAAGAGTGGGTCATCCATGCGGAGCAGCCTTCATTTAGTAGATCTTGCTGGAAGTGAAAGGGTAGACCGATCAGAGGTCAGTGGAGATAGACTAAAGGAGGCACAACATATAAACAAGTCCTTAGCTGCCCTTGGAGATGTCATTTCTGCTTTGGCAACAAAGAGTCCTCATATCCCATACAGAAATAGCAAGCTTACTCAGGTTCTTCAGAGCTCCCTAGGTATATATTATTTCACATCTCTTACCCAGTTAGTGAAACTCTATACATAGTAATATTGTTAAGTCACTCCACTCCGGAATATAAATATACAAACTCACATACAAGATATTTAGGGAATCCTCATATAAGGTTGAATATTTATGATGGAATGCCAAGATTTAATAAAAACACTAGAGCCAATTAAAGCTCAATCAAGTAATTGATCCAACAGAGACTCAAAAGAACAACCAAATTTCAAGAATCAGTTGCTCCAAAGAGCTACCTTCTTGTCGGCATACTAAGTTATTCCATACCTGCCAAATATAAAGATACAAATTCACATTTAAGTCTTGTACTATATGAGTAGATACAAATTCACATTTAAGTCTTGTACTATATGAGTTCTTACGTTTGTTTCTACTTCCGAGAAGTGATTTATTTTAGTGATTTTATGAAAATCGATTAATAGTATAGGTTAGTAGTGTTTGAAAAAAAAGCGAGTTATAGAAGTAAAAGTTAGAATGTTTGGTGAAAAATACTATTTTGTGTAAGTGTGTAACAGAAAAAGTGAAAACAAATACTATCCTCAGTTCCATAAAAGTTGAGTTTGACTTTCACGTTTGCCAACGTGCAACTTTGACTGTAATTATATTTATTTACATATTAGTAAACATTAAAAAAAGTTAATATATTGGAAGTTTACATTAATACAAATTTATTAATATTTTATACTACCTCCGTCTCTTAAAACTTTGCCAAGTTTGACCGACACATGGATTAATAAAGTAAAAACTGTGTGGTTGAGGTTTGTGCAGAGGAGAGAGAATTAAATGGAACCACAAATTCTTTCCTTAAAAGGGAAAGTGACAAAGTTAGTGGGACATCCAAAAAAGGAAAGTTGGCAAGTTTTAAGGGACGGAGGGAGTACATAATATTTTTATTATATATATTATTAGAAAATCGTAGTCAAAGTAAGATGTGTGAATAGTGGTGAAATTCCAATGTTGCAACTTTTATGGAAGCGGATGAAGTATGAAGTATCCTTCCCCTGCTTTTAGCTTTTAACCGTTTAACTTGAAATAGAAGCACATGTTTAAAAGCACTACTTTTAGCTTTTCTAAAGAATAAAAAGCTGAAAATAAGCAATTGCAAACACTTGTTACTTCTTTTTTTGGCTAAACTTTTTAAGATGGAGCTCTAAGTCTTAATAGAATATTAGAGCTAGCCAAAAATGGAAAATGAGGTGACATTAATTTTAGAACATATATATGTACAACTAAGCGTTCATTAAAAGACTAATCATTTTTCCCCATATTTTATTCAAATATGGAGTATGATTTTATGTTTTCATTTGTTTCTTTAATGTAGGTGGCCAAGCAAAGACCCTTATGTTTGTGCAGTTGAATCCTGATGGTGTTTCATATTCTGAATCCTTGAGCACATTAAAATTTGCTGAAAGGGCATCTGGGGTAGAGCTTGGAGCTGCGAAGAGCAGCAAAGAGGGTAAGGACGTCAGAGAATTGATGGAGCAGGTATTCATTCTATAATCAATACAAATTTATGTTAAATCTAAATATATTTAACTTTGGCCAGTTCAGCATGCTTGTAATTTTTTTTCATGCTGATAATTTTTTTTTTATGATTATATGTTTTTAATACTCCCTCTGTTCCATAAAATTCTATAATCACTACAAATTTATGTTAAATCTGAATATTTTAACATTGGCCTGTTCAGCAAGCTAATAATTTTTTTTCATGATTATATGTTTTTAATACGGAGTAATACATAATTTACATCTATCCACGTGATTGAGTGGGGCATCTCGTGAACTTTTATAAATTGTTATAACACATCATATGGGCAAGAAAGCTTAAATCAAACTTAAGTCAAATTCAAATAGGGTTTAATGCACCAAACTCCCTTGTGGTATAAAAATTTGACGCTTTAGCCACTCGTGATTTAGAAAATGCGTCAAACTCCCGTGTTATAATTAATAATGCGCAGATTCCTTTCTATGAACAAATATAATTCTCAAATGAAAAAAATGATTAGCATTTTTGTATAATTTAATAATTTTGACAAATTTAGTTGCATGTTCAATCATAATATTAGGAAAAGTAATTTCCAAATTGTCAAATTTATTCGCATAGGGGGTTCTATGCATGAATATTTATAACACAGAGGGGGAGGGGGTGGGATGATGCATTTATACTTCTTATATCACAAGGGGTTTTGATGCATTAAACCTCATACAAATATATTATCTGGGGATCATAAGGGTCAAATTGGACACCATGATTACATGAGAATTATATATTGGTCACTAAGGTTTGAAATGGATCAAATCGGGTACTATAGTTACGTTTGAATCTCACATTAGCCACCAAGGTTTCATAATTCATAGTTTTTGGACACACTTACGGTTCTGTACTTTAATAAAAATCGTTAGTCTTATTTTTTCTTTCCTTTTTGGTGAAAATAAACTAATTTAATTGATATATATAATTTTGGAATATTTACTTTGAGGTTTTAGAATATATAATTTGATTTTAATTAATAACATCTTATATGGAGTATTTAACAAGTTAAAAATATATTATAGACTTTTCATTCATATGATTTTTATGGAACTTGGGAAATATCGATTTGTTAAATTGATTTAACAATATTAAATTGATTTTCTTAACTGGAACATCTAATTATATATTCTAAATCTAAATACATGAATTAAGTTTTATTTTTTATTTTTTAGGTACATAAAACAAAGGAAAAAAGGAATACTTATAGCTTTCAAATGTGAAAAATCTTTGGTGGGTGTCCAAAAATCCAAAAATGATTAAAAAAATGTTAAATTTGATCCATTTGAAAATTTAGTGTCCAATTTGGTACATCTGAAACCTTAGTGCTCAATATGAGATTTACATGTAACCATAATGTCCACTTTGACCTTTATCCCTTTAAGAATCAATTATTTATCCCTCAAGTTTTGGTTATTCGCACTATTTACCCCTCCGGCCAACATTAATCATATTTGACTTCATATATTGTTAAATCTAGTGAAAATTTTCTAAATCATATTTGTTTCTTGGTATTTCTTATTTGTTACACGCACAAGAAATATCATTGACATTAATTGAGTCGGATGAATTATAATTTACAAACAGGACTTTATATTTGTGATAAAGAAGTGTCCAGGATTTTAATACTACGTATCACATATTTTAAACAATCTTTTTTTATGTATCTCATGAATATTACTTGTGAGTCTTCTCCTTCAATTCTCCTTAATATTTGTTCCACGAGTAGCTAAGTAGGAAAAATAACGAACAACGACTACGTTTTATAATTATGATAATGAATTGTTTTTTACTTTTTAAAAAAGATATTGTAGACAACTTTCATTGAATTTGAGAGTTAAATTTAATTTAGCATATATTAACCGATTAACGTGAGGGGGTAAACAGTGAGAATGGTCAAAACTCAGGGGGTAATTAATTGATTTTTAAAAATACAAGGTTGCATTATTAATTAGGACATAACCTGAAGGGGGTAATAGTAATTTTCCCTATTATCTATTCTCTGTTAAAAAACAAATCCAGCCAGACCTGCCTAGTCCCCTCCAAGGCACTAGTCTTCCTTGGCTGCCGGCTCAGCTCTGATGTTAGGCTTAGGGGTTGAGATGCCTTGTTGCATGTCATTGTTTAGTTTGAGATTTAAACACAAAAATTGTTTATTTTTAATTTGAGAATTTGAATAAATTTGCAAATTGTAATTCACAACCAACTCTACAGAATAAATGATTTTAGGACAATGCATCATAATAAGTTTGTCATTTTGCAATCCCATTAAGTTTGTCTAAAGTTAAATAAACCGGCAGGTTACAACTCTTAAAGGCACACTAGCAGCAAAAGATGATGAGATTATGAAATTGAAGTTAATCAAAGATCCCCAAAAGGTGAAGGGTTAAGTGCACATTGTTCTTCGAGAATTTAAAGGTTTGTATCTTTTTTTACCCTTAAGTAATGAAGTTATATGAGGGAGTTACTAAATGATTGTGATCATTTCATAATTAAGATTCTAATCTTCATTAGTAAATGGTTATCAACTTCCAGACCAAAATCAAAACCACAAATACCAAGAGGCTTCTTGCAGCGTCCAAATGGTAAGAATTTGTGTGCACGGTGCACTGCGTGTAACACGATTAGTTTGATGATATGTACATGAAAAATGTTCATTTTTATGCATAATTGAGGCACTTATCACATTTTACTTTCAGGATTAAATTGGGATGTTATGCCAGAAGATAGCTGGAACGTAGCGTTAACATTTAGTTGTATTATTCAATTGATTTATTATTTCTTTTTGGATTTCCTCGTGCAGCTTGTTTAAACCATTCTTCTGCCAGGAAATCCTCTTAATTTATTAACTTATTTGTTCCCCTTACTGATTAGATATTCAGGTGTATAGTTTTCGTGAGGGGTTAATGACACACTTAGCACTTAGCAGTTTAAACTTTCTTTGGGACACAATTATAGGTATGTGTACATAATAGTTGAAACTTGCAGAATTTAGACTCATTATGAGCTCGACTCAATAAGCAACTGAAATTGCAGCAATTGTATATTATTCAGTATTCTGTTGTTTTCTATATTCTTTACTAGAAAACTATATATGCCTAGCGCGCAAAATTTTCCCATTCAAAATTAAATTTGTAGCTTAATGCGTCTTTGGCCCAAAAGACGCATTAAGCTGCTCTTTATAGCTACTAGAAGTTTCCTTTCCTCACCAAAAATTATTTGAGAGCTTTACACTTTCCAGTTTCCCCACAAAAATATTCTGCAAACAAATGGCATGGCGTATGAAAAAGTACCATTTCACAAAAAAAAGTTATTTTTTCCCACGCATCAATTACAAAAAAAATATAGTTACTATATGTCCTTTTTCTTGTGTAATATGATTATGATCTAATTAAGGATCCACATTTACATGCCTCCTAATTTTTCTTTGCATTGGCTTTTGGCTAATACTTATCAATTATCATTATTCATGAGTAATATAATATAATGAAAGTTATTTTTTTCGTATACAATTGAAAATATTGAATTTATTGAATGTATCTTATGTTTTCAAATGCATAAATCTTTTTTCTAAACCAGCAATTAATTTATGGGTGTAGGGTTGGGCGAAATGTGGTGACTGGTGATATGATAAAATTGTCATAATGCCTCCTAATGTGTATTTATGGCTTTTAGAACTTGAAAATTTTATCATGCTCACTTGAAAAATGTGTGATTTGTTTAAGTCTAATTATTTTAAGTTTTTAACCTGATCAGGTGTAATATGCATGAAACATAAGTTAATCAAACTGAAAACATACTCCTCCTAAATCTAATTTGTTAGCTGGGATGCTCAACGTAACTTTGAGTATTTTTTAGATCATTGGTTACCGTTAATTAGGTATATCTTCATAGAGAAAAGATCATGTGAGATGTGCCCCTTAAAATGAGAAGTGAGAAGTTATCTTAGTCCTTGGATTGCATGTGATCTTACAACGCAGTAAACTTATAGACCAAATATAGAAACTTTTAACCAATAAATCATGACTTATAAAGCTCTCCATAATAATTACGAAAATGCCACCGTGTCAAAAAAAATTCAAGGTTTCTAGACTTATTTTTTTGCGGTGGCATTTTCGTAATTATTTTCGAGGGGCTACAAGTTATGATTTATTGGTTAAAAGTTCCTATATTTGGTCTATAAGTTTAACTTTGCAGTTTTCAACCTAAGAGCACTTCTCACCTGATCCGCTCCCTATCTTCATATTTCGACTCACATTATTTATACTGGTGATAGAATGGATGGGGCTCATGGCGTGTTTACCATAAAAAAAAATTAAATTACAACATGTATGAATGTACATATCCTAACTATAACTATCTAAATCAAGAGTAGTTTTATGGAATCATATGTGACTCATATGTGTAGATATATAGATGATCATCTATCACAACAACCTATCATTTTGTGGAACCCTCTCACTGAAAACGATCGTCTATTCTGAATCTAGTCTTCTATGACTCCATATGTGAATCAAAAAAACCTTTTGTACACACTCTTATACACACTTTTGTACACATCTATGTTTGTGAAAGGTTTTTTTGTCTGTGAACATCGACTCACAGACAATGTTTTGTATAAGGTGTGTATAACGGCGTGTACATCAAGCAGTTTTGTATATGAATAATATGCAATCCCTTAAATTTTGTAGGCAGAAATGGGTGGGTCAGTGTGAGGGGAAGAAAAGTGGTGATGAATCTCTTTGTAGCATCCCACTGTCTTCCTTTATCTTCACTTTGTTCATCTTCTCTTTGCACCAATGCAATTGATCCCCATTCACCTCTTTCATTCTCAAAACTCTACAAACAACTTTCAAGTCTATTTGTGCCATCAAAATCTCCATTTCGTCCTTCTTTTTTAACTTTATATTTCGAAGGCGCCATTTCCCCGTCCGCTTCATATCTTTCAACTTTCTTTTTTTCTACATATTTTTACAAGTGATATCATTACAACGTCCGTGAGTAGAATAATAAAGTAAAAAATGTGTGATTGAAATTTGTTAAGAGGAGAGTAAAATAACTTTAGCCACATATTTAATATTTTAAATGAAAATGACGAAATTTTTTGGGACGGGAGAAAAATGGCCGGGACGAAGGTAATATCACTTTCACTTGACATTATATCTACTATTTTTCGTTTAAAACTTTTGCCAAAATCTAATGTTGCAAAAAAGATCAGGCAACTAATAATAAATTGACTAAATTCTAATTAGTTGATACAGGTTTAATTATGAATGCATTAACTTACTTTTTTGTTTACTTTTTGGAGGTTCAAAAGAAGGAGTGGATCAGCTGAGCCTGGTCTGCTTTTCTTGAAAAAAGATGCTATCATTTGACAATAATGGCCCTCCTTGTCTGCTTTGAGAAAATTCATGAATGTCCGGATTGATTCCTCCATTATTTGAAGGAATGAATCTGAAGGAATCCTGGAACAAAATCCTTCTTCTCCTTTCTCCTCGTCCGAATCTTACGTGCGCAAGTAAATACATGAATGAATATTAACATGTAATCACAAATGAGATGATAATAATCTATATATCTATATATATAATAAACGATGTTACATTAAAAAACGATGTTGACTTGTCTCTTTTTAAGTCTATTATTATTATTGGTTTTCCTAAAATATTATTAAGAAAAAAAGTCATGGAAATGTGACTTAATAACTTTTAATGATTATAATCGTGTTCAAAATTTCTATCGTAATCACTATATCATACAGATTATGGAGTCACTAAAAATTACCAAGTTACTAAAAGTTTCCTACATAATAATAACTTTGAACACGATTAAAGTCACTAAAAATTATCAATTCGCATTTTTTCACCATTTTTCCAAGAGTAATATTAGTTGGATTTCTTCTATTTGTGACTATGTTTTATATAATGATTTATTATACTACTCTTTGTCTCATTATAATTGTCACATTTTTTCCTTTTCCGTCCATCTCACTAAATTTGTTACATACTCAATTCGTTCCTTATAATTTTGCCAACTTTCTTTTTTTGGTTGTTTCACTAACTTTGCTACTTTGTTTTAATAAACAAAGAATTTTTAATTGTTGTTAACTTTTTCTCCTTCACACAAGCTTCAATCACATAATTTTTACTTTATTATTCTACGTGTCAGTCTGACAAAGTTTTAAGCGACATATGGAGTATCATATTTGGTAATATTTGTGTGACTCCAATTCATTAATCCGTATTACTTTTCCATTTTATAAAATCATTACAACCATGTAACTCTATTTTTCTTAAAACCGCACCACTCATTTTTGTCTCAATTTTAGGAGGACAGAGGTACGTAGTACCACCTCCGTTCTTAACTAAATGCAACATTTTGACTTTTACACTATTCACATGTTCTACTTTGACTACGTTTTATTTATTAATGTAATAATATTATTTTATGAAAAAAATATTGTTAAACTTGTCTCATTGTAAATTTTCATAATCTAATTTTTTTAATTTTTTTACTAATACAAAATCATTTATATTAATGGTCAAAGTTGTGTTTCGGTAAGTGTGAAATGTTGAGCGTTGCATTTATTTAAGAACGGAGGAAGTATATATCAATCTCAAATTAAGATTTGTTTAATACTTGTATTATTAAAAAAATGTTATGGAGCCACATACTCCCTCCCTCCTACTATGCTTTGCATTTTTCTTTTTCGTTTATCTCTACATTAAATTTCTCACATTCAGAAACTGTTACTCTATTGCAAATGAGAGCTTTATAAAATTGAAATTAGAGGTTTGGGAAAAGGGGTTTAATACATCAAACCCCTCAACATATATAAATTCAGCGCATTAACCCCTCTTGTGTTAATTAATCTTGAACAGAACCTCTTTTATGAATAAATTTAATGATTTGCAAATCACTTTTCGGAATACCCTGATTGAATATGCAAGTAAATATGTCAAAATCTCTAAGTCATACAAAAATGTTAATCATTTTTTTTATTTGACAACTAAAATTGATCATAGAAGGGATTTTGTGCATGATTAATTAAAAAATTACTCCCTCTGGTCCCAAATGAAATTCACACTTTCCTTTTTGGGTAGGTCCAAAATAAATTTCACACTTCTTTTCCATTTCTTATTTGGCAAATTATCTACATCAAAACAGTGTAAAACAGTGCAAAACAGTGTCACTACAATGTACTCTACAGTAAATTCAAATTTATTTCTTTAATTTGTGTGAAGTCAAAGTGTGAATTTCATTTGAGATCGGAGGAAGCAAAGTACACCTGGTTTTGTGCAATAAACCCTTGTCAATAGTATACCTCTATATTCAGGCACTTGTAGTAACTTTGGGGATGAGCCCCTCACCCTAGCATAAACCTCAGGCCTCCTTCCATGTTCAAATGGTTCATTCTCTATGTACCTCTGGAGAAGAACTTGAAACTGCTGAAATTGCTGAGCAATGTAGGCAGGGCAGCCCCGGTCTTCCGGCGGCCGCCGCCGCCGCAGATCCAGTAGGCGCTGGAGTTGCTTGTAATTCCAATTCAGAGCTTCCCATGTCAAGCATATTTGTGCCACGTAAGCTGCCTCTAGATCATTGTATGGATCCAACGGTCCCCGTTTCTTTCGTCTAAACTTATGTACAATCCTATCTGATACTGATCTTGGATTATTTGATTGCAGTCTTAACCTAAGCGATTCTGGTGAAAAAAAGAACAAAATACTGTTAATTCATATGTTCCGTTCATTTGCCGTTTTGCACATGAATGGATTACCTTTAATTTGATCAAAGCAAAAAAGTAGTACTCCATGCGCTAAGTATGCATGAATTACCTTTAATTTGATTGCCAAAATTTCATAAATAAAAATAAAATATAAAATATTAACTCAAAAAGGTTGTCATTATTTTCTTTCAAAAGAAGAATCAGTAACTTCTAATTTAGAAAGTTTCATTTTAATAATAGTCCCATTTTAGCAGTAAAACATGATCAATTCTACTTTTTGAAAACATTCCATATTTTACTCCTATTTTGAGCATTTTATTAAATATTTATGAGTGGGAAAAGGTCATAATTAAGTGAAAAGACGTGGGGTTTCATCTAGGGATGGATTTAGGGGAAGAGGGATGACCGCCACCTTGAAATTTCATTTTTTTATTGAAAAATTCCTTTTGAACACTTTCTTATACGTAGTACACATTAGTACATCTCCGTGTCTGTGAATCTCAATCGATAGACAAAAATTGACTTATTTTGTCTGTAGAATTTTCCACAGACAAAACAAGTCGATTTTGTCTATGAACTGGGATTCACAGACAAAAAAACCTCTCACAGACACGGAGGTGTACTGGTGTGTATAATAATGTGTACACCAAGAATTTTCGTACTTTAATTAGATCTCTTTTCCACCATAGGTTGGGAGCCTTTGTGACAATAGGGTAATGATGATGATCATACTTTTATGAGGACAGTTTTCGAGAATCGACGTGAAATGAAATGTGTGACGTACGTGGTAAGTTATTCGTGTAGTATTGCTAAAATAATTTTTCTCAATGAATTATAGCTAAGTTTAGCTCATTTAAGAAAATATTGCATTAAAATAAATTCTAAACTATTCCAACATTAAGACAAATATAATATGCACCAAGTATATGAATTAAAAATAAAATGTTATTTTAAAATCGATAATCTCTTGCATTCTAGTGCAATATTTAAAATGCTCCTTTTGACTTGCAAACACTCGTGGTCAACGAAACGTGTAATTCAAAAATTGGATTCTTTATTCTAATAAGGTTTATGTAGTTAAACGAGGTGAATGTATACCTGTTAAACCCTTACCTTCAAATAAAGGGTTTGAATAATCAAATAATCAAATAATTTCGTTTGAATTTAGCATTACTTACGCAGTTAGGCTTTAATTTACATAACCTTTTTCTAGAGGCTCTAAATATAAAATCTAAGTTATTTTTGTTTGAGTGTGGCCGGTATAGTTAAATGTAGTGTCCACGCTCATGATTTTTTTAATAGAATATGGGCAGAATCCTATAAAAAAAATCGTCCCCTTAATCATAAATTAAGGTCAATTACCGCTCATTTAATATTAAAACGACATACGGGATATGTTTTTTTACCAATTTATCTTCATTAGTAAATTGAAAAGTTAGTTTGGTACGTGTTTCACACACTTGTTTATGTACACAAATAACATTAAAAATATCGAGAGAACTATCAAATAAGCCTTCGAACTTTCATAAAAAGTGCAAATAAGCCCTTTTAGAGGAGGCTTTGTCCGGCTGTCGCCATTTGGGGAGGTTTCCGGTGGAAATTTTTGATGAAATTTTTTTAGCATCATATTCATTAAGTCTAGTTTGCTCATACCAAATTTTAGCTAAAAATTCAATTGAGAAGGCAGTCAAATGATTTTCTGAAATATACTGCGCTGCCTAACTGCGCAGTTATCTTCAAAAATTCATTTGACTGCCTTACAGATTGAATTTTTAGCTGAAATTTGATATGAGTAAACTAGACTCAATGAAGAAGATTCTCAAAAACTTTCATAAAAAAAAAATCCACCGGAAACCGTCCCAATTGGCGACGGTCGGGCAGAGCCTCATATAAAAGAGCTTATTTGCACTTTTTATGAAAGTTTGAGGGCTTATTTGATAGTTCTCCCAAAATATCCGTGTTATTTAGATGAATTGTTTGTGAATACAACATTATTCCAGCTAAACCAGACATAAGGCAACACTCAAAAAGACAAAAAAAAAGCAAGTTGGTTACGTAATCAGTAAGCAAACTTTATTTTGCAGGTAGGTAGTGCGAGTAGATCTCAACATATCATCTCTTATATTATATGGTATAAAGTTAAAGTTTTATAATCTGTATACACGGGGAATAAGATTGTCACACTGCCCACTCCAAACATTATTTTATCCATTTTTTGTACTTCATTAATTAATATCTATTGATGAACCTTTGAGACGATTTTAATTATCGGAAATATTTATAAAAGAATCATAAATCATAAATGAACGCAAAATCAGTAAAAAAAAATGATCAAGATCAAAGATTAAAAATGAAATGTATTCCTACTATTAGCCGTCAAAATGAGACAGAGAATAAATTGAATCCATTATCTTATCTTGCCTTTATATATACATCAAGAGACTCAAGACTACAGTAATTAGCATTTGGTATAAATTGGGTCGGGTCTAGTCTAGTAATATGACAAAATACTAGGATAACGCTCACTTTGAAGATCTATATGCACTGAGTGAGAGATAAAAAAAATACGTCCTTCGACTTTACAAACTTTTAACTGAATTTCTCCCTCCGGTTCCAAAAGATCTTGACACTTTGACTTCACAGTTTTTAAGGAAATAAATTTGACTTTGCTGTAGAGTACACTGTTTGGCACTGTTTGACACTGTTTGACACTGTTTAGCATTGTTTTGTGTAGATTTATTTGCCAAATAAGGAAGTGTAAAGATAATTGTGGTACTGATAAAAATGGAAAATGTAAAGATCTTTCAGAACCGAAGGGAGTAATATTTTACATTGCCTTCCTCTTGTACAATTATTAGAGAAAGTTCAAATTAGACGGAGTAAATGATCACGGATACAAATATTTTTTACCATATGCAGATTATATGTAGTATGAGGGAAGTTAGATTGAGGAGCTCATAATCGAAATCACCATGCGAAATTCATTGTTTGAGGGGTTCCCAATGGAATTGTAATTGAAAGTTTGTGACAATGTTCTTCATGACGTGTACATTACGTCCACAAAGTTTCAACTTAAAAGCAATCGAGATAGCAGTTAAATAAATTAATAAAAAGAATTAAGCTTTTATATACTGTATATAAACAACGTGATGTTTTTCAATAATTTATTTATTTGACTCACTTTCCATTTGAATATGAAACTAAATTTTTTTGTGGAATAATCTACACTTCATGAGAACATTATCACAAAATTTTATCAAAAAAAGCATCAACGGCGAATTTCGTACGGAAGTTCCGATCGAGTGCCCTTCACTCAAACGGGATTCTATGTAGTACTCGTATTACCTAATACTCTCTCCGTATCATATTAGTTGCAACATTGAAATTTACATACTATTCATTCATGTACACTACATTTTATTTATTAATGTATTAGTAGAAATAATTAGGAGTAAAAGATGTTAGTGAGAAAATAATTAGGAGTATTGAAATGGGCGGGTACCTGTTTCACGGAGTTTTTGAGCACTAATTCTGTCCAAAAACAGCATTTCTTCGTCGTACTTTTGGAAAAGAGTATATGACTCCCACTTGGGGCAACTTCTTCTGGAAGATGAGGAAAATGGATCTTCGGTGCAAGAATCCTTGATGGAGCTTCTCCATTCCGACGAGCTCTTTGAAGTGGATCCAACGGTGCAGGAATCTTCAAATATATCTTCTTCTCCAAAGTGCAACCTCTTGCTCTCCACCTTGGCTGGTGGCGCGTGCACCAACTTCTCCTCCACTTGTTGAATCAAACCATTTGCCTCCACTCTCTTTTCTTTGGGAATATTATCTAAAACATCAAACAATTACATTTGAATTGAACACATGTATCTTTGCTTCTATTTGTAAATTTAGTAGCCAAATTTAACATTCACTTTCTCGGATAGAGTTTTGTTTTGACTTTTCAAATATTCTCTTGTTTTTATGTCAAATCCAGTAAAGAGTGAGCAAAAATAAGAGTATGTGTGACATTTTGATTAAAAGTTGTTTTTTTTTTAATAAAATTGAGAACTTTTTTTGGGATATCCATAAAAGAAAATTGAAAACTTCTTTTCAGGACGGATGAAGGTAGTATATCAAAATTGTAATTGTTTTCATTAATTAATTTAACTGACTTTCATGTTGAATTTTAAGCTTAAATTTTGTATGGATTATCTAAACTTCATGAATAATATGCTCACAAAATTTGATCAAATGATTCCACTCGAAAGCCCTTCAAACGACCAGACAGATTTTGAATCCTGTAAATTAATTTGCTATGATATCCTCATTAATTATTGCATGGAGTGCCATAGCAGTTACTGTGATTGGAATATGAGTCACTATTTAAAATACCAAAATGACTTATCAGCAATATAGGTATTCTTTATGAAAATTGAATTAGAAATACTGATTATTTTATATGACTACAATTTTCTCTGGTTTTTAGCAAAATGATTAGAAGGCTTAACATGAAATTGAGAAAAATTAAATGTAAAAAAATATGTTTGAACAAATACCTATGTGAGATTTTTTATTCTCACGTGACATGTCCCGGCGGTGAACACTTGTTTTAGAATAACCAATATGACTGTCCCTACTTGGAATATTCTCTTCATCATCAGCCACTTCTCCAAGACCAATTACATTAGTCTCCATGGCTGATGTTGATGATGAGATCCAAATGCTGCAGGGTGGTTCTTCATTGACAACACTTTTGATTTCCTCTACTACTTCATCATCATCTCCCTCTTCTTCATCATCATCATCATCATCATCACCGTCATCATGGTGACAATCTTGGAAGCTTCTACTACGTTGCAGATGATGGTTCCGGATATGATGATGTTGTCTTGATACATGACCAACAGGGGCACCATGGTAATATTCATCATACTCAACTTCATCTTCCACTGCTTTTTCTTCATCATCAGAATATGTGTCAATAAACTCATATGCAGCCCTGCAGTAAAAGTATGTGACCACCCAAAAGACCATTTGTCATTAGCTGTTACATGGAACAAGCAAACAAACTACTGACTGATTCATTAAAGAAAACATTATATGAGAAATGAAAAGTTCATATATACCTTCCATAAAACAGGTCACCACCAAGAAAATGAAGGATGGCAACAAGAAGAATAAAGGAGAGATATGAGAAGAGCATGAAAAGTTGAAATGAGGCTGAGGCATTGTAGAACAGCCTTGCAATTGCTTCTTTTGAACATTGCATCCTTTTCTTCTTTTTCTAAAGAAGAGGGGGAAATGGAATGAGAGTTGTGATAGTAATATACAAAGCTAAGGAAAGGATCTACTGTAAGGGGATGGATAGATGCATTTACCTACCTGCTGCTGGATGGCCGGCCTGTTACAGTACGGCTTCAAGAAAAGCAAAGTAAAAAAGCAATTCAAAGTGCGTGGCACTGATAAAAGTTTGCTGCTTTTAATACCTATATTCAATTCAATATCGGCTGTTTGTGATATCTTCTTTATTCTCTCAAATGACTTCCATATCCCTATCTCCATATATTCAGTAATATAATATTCTCCACGCTTGAATTAAATTCAGTAATTCATGTCATATATAAATATAAATATAAATCCATACAATATACACACACGTACACATTTATATGTGTAATGGGAGATCGAATTAATTGTTTCATTCAGAATGTGAGGTACGTACCCACACCATGCAGTGGACTTAATTGAGACTCTCATCGGCTCCACCCGTGAATGAGCAGGGGAGGTGATGAGAAAAATACTCCATACTTTCTTAAAGAATTGAAATTTTATAGGGGGTAAAATTGACATCAATCATCTCTATTTTTTCATGTTTTACAAAAAATAATCCTTATTGGAAAATTTCAAAACAATAATTAATACCAACTAGTTAACTGTTTCACAAAGAATTAATCCTTATTTTTGCTCACGTGCTTCTAGCGACCCCATTAATTCAGTGATGGACATTTTTGATAGATCTTTTGACTCCTCAATAGCCGAAACTACTGGATCATATTTTTCAGGGAGACTGATTAGGACCTTCTGGATTATTCTCTCGTCGGTTATGTTTTCTCCAAGAGTTCTCATTTCGTTGACTATATGTATAAGCCGAGAGAAATAATCTTTTGCCATTTCAGAATCTCTCATCTTTAAATTTTCGAGCTCTCTTCTTAAACTTTGTAATTTAATAGTTCTAACTTTCTCATTTCCTTGAAATTCCTCCTTAAGAATATCCCAAGCTTCTTTTGCCGTAGTAGCACGAATTATTCTCGGGAAAATAGTATCACAAACGGATTGTTGAAGAAGATAGAGAGCTCTAGCATTTTGTTGTTTTTGTTTCTTACGTACCTCGGAAGTTGATGCGTCGTCGCTTCCTTTTTCCGGCATCATGATTCCTTCTTCAACAAAATCCCAGAGATCATGTGATTCTAGGCAAGTCTTCATACGGACACTCCAATAGTCATAGCTTTCTCCATTGAACATCGGAGTTGATACCGAGAAGCTTGATGTCGCCATAATGCCCGCTTATGATCGAACAAGCTCTGATACCACTTGTTAGAAAATAAAAGAGGTTGTTGGTTGTATGAGTAGAATAAGTGATTTTAGTGAGGTGTAATGTAGATGATGTGTTTTAGAGGAGAGCTCTTGTCTCTAGAAAAGTAGTATTGTATTGATGTTTCTTGGTTTTGCTTGGTTTGCAAATGAGTGCAATGAGTCCTATTTATAGGAGCTAGAGGATCATTCTAGATCCTTATTAAATGCTATGATTCTAGAGTATTCTACATCTATGTCTAATTACTCTAGATTTTACATAAGAATTCTCTAGTAGAGAATTTTCTAGAATACTTTCTAGCTTTAACTCTCTAGATCATCTCTAGCCTTTTCTACATAGAATATTCTAGATAAATGCATCACTGTTTAATAAAAATCTAGTATGGTTTGTCTGCAAATTTTTTGAGAAGTGCATTCTTCCTATTTGTCATGGAGCTCAAGATTCACGTTAGAAGGAAGCAATGCAAAGATAGATTGATGCACTTAATACAATGGGAGGTGGTCTCTTAATTAATTACCACGGACCTTGCCTACGGGAAAAGCATTCCGTGTAATTTGGGGTTTTGGACTTTTGGGGTATAAAATCAAATTAATCAATTACAAGCTAGACTGATGGTTCTCTTCTCTATAAACCGGTTTAAGAGCTGGATCATCTCGTTGTTTGTGAAAACCATCAACCTAAGCCGTATTGCAGAAATGGTTACAGACTTACAGGTCGACTATTATGGAGGTGGCGGCATCTAACCAATTCAATGGGAGCTTCATGAGATGGACATTGACAACGGTTGAAATCCTACACTGCTAATTTAAAGATATTTATTATAAGTATTAAAGAAGAATTGCAAAAACAAAATAGTCATTCGGGCCCGTTCCAGCCGGTCCCGTACCCGGTTAAAAAATAAGACAGTTCCGATCAATGCCATGAAACCGTGACCATGGCAACCCCTAGATGCACCTGTACTTTCCTGTACCAATGAAAATTGTTCCAGTACAGATTAGGGCAATTGTAGGTTTAGGTCTATTAATGTATGAGAATGTGGACATAGCCATGTCAATAAGACATAATTTAACTTATAGTGGTAAAGTCAGGATGAAAAGTGAACACTCATAACAAATGTCTATAAGCTCACACAGTGGTAAAAATCTTTACCTAATGCTAACAAAAAAGTTAATGCCAAAATCTGATGAACAAACTTCCAAAACAGTCAGCTGAGCAATAAGAGTCAGTTCAAAACCGCTCCAAAACTCCATTCTTCTTCAGGACCATGGCTCAATGCTAGAAAGGAATGGAGGTAGAACCCTGGCACGAGCCCTTTCATTCCAGTTCCGTAGTCTGCACAGTCATCTGGAATCTTGACGATTTGGCAGCAAAGACCATCGTGATCAGGAACTAACAGCACAGTTCGAAGTATGGCACTGAGTTCAGAATAGTGAGATGGAGGCAAAATACAAGCCAAATCGCACGTACCGTAGATGTTTTTAACTTTATAAGTCCACCAAGGGGATCCTGCTGTCACATGAGGATCAATAGGCTTCAAAGGAAACCCGAGCTCTTTAAGGGTTGGAATGAAGGATAAGTACTCAGCGGAACAATAAGTTGATTGACTACGGCCTTCATGTTGTAGACCCTCTGGGTAGGTTGGTGCAAGAATAAAATGGGTCACCATGCTGTGTGTCTCAGTGTCTCGAAAACACCGAAATCTTGAACCGCCATTCCAAAGGGTAGGGGGAGGGGTACATCCTCGGTATAGCACGGGTCGCTAGCATAACGGCTTTCATATCTTCCGAGCGATTTATGGATGCTGTGGAGCTTAGCATAAAGAGCAGCCATGCACACATCTGTTGTAAACTTGGCAATCTCAGTAGCCAGTGCTAGGATTGCAGACTCAGTTTGGGTCTCATATGCAGCGTTGGAGAAGAGGCGAACACGTAAGCCAGCAAACATACAACCATTAAAGCAACGTCTAAGTTCTTCAGCATTGACCTCATAAGTAAGAAGCTGCGGCTTTGAGCCTAAAGGGCGCTGGAATCCAAGCACTTTAATCTCCACGAGGTGACGGAAATATTCGGGGTCCACTGCTAAAACAACACCCTTCTTCACCCTAAACTCCGGTAGAGTCTGTGACTCTCTAGCAGGTGCATTGACCTCATAAGTAAGAAGCTGCGGCTTTGATCCTGCAGGCCGCTTGAGTTTCTTTGCAACCTGCTGAGTAATATCGATGGAAGCTTCTTCCATTGGTGTAGACATATATACCTGGAGGAAGATGGTATGTGAAAGAATCATGATTTCTGCACAAGTCCTAAAGCAACAGCAACATGCACTTTTTACATTTTCAGTTATTTTGCAAGAGAACTGAATGTATGACCCTGTTAGCACTATCTCTAATATAGAAGGGAGGCAACAAATTTTTTATTTTTGAAAGTATCCAGGTTTCTTGCAATCTGATAGACTGATACCATGTTAAATTAAGTACTGCTCTTATATGATGAGTTTGCAACGTCATAATCTCTAGACTTGCAATGCTTATATGGAGAAAAATGGACCTGAACTCGTAGGTGCAAATGGGAAACCAAACCTTAAACCTAATAGGAGCATAAAACATTAATATTCCTACAACTATATTACTATTTCTATAGTTCAACAATGTTTACATTAAACAAATACAAATGTCATGATTTTCAACAAATAGTCACTAAACATACATATGTATGTATTTCAAATGTATTGGAACTTCGGAAATTGCCCTAAATAGGAGTATAAGCAATGTGAAATATCAATATAGGAGTACTATGTTTTTCCTAAAATGGGTAATTACTATCATATTTTTTAAAATATTGTCAATTATTATGACATTAAAAATGTCATGTTACTATAGGGTAATGTCAAAGAATTGCAGTACAATTTTGGGATGTTAGTAATTCAATCGTACTTGGAGTGGAAAACATAGTACTACTGTTTTAGAATTTCACATCGTTTTTACTCTTAATTTGGGAAATTTCCCTTGGACCTTCAACCATGATCATTCAACACTTCAAGAGCCCTTCTGCCAAATCAACAAAAGAAATAGGTTATAAAGAACAACCCCCATATAGACAAAGTTAAAGTCCCAAAAAAGATGTCAAGAAGATCTTGCAACAATAGGAGCCAAGATGTTGAAAATTAAAAAAATAAGGGAAGAACAGGGAAAGTAAAGACTCTCCCTCAATCCCATGTTCAAATGGGATACAGGAATATTCAGATTATACCAATTATAATATCTTCTTCTGTTTCAACAAAATATATCTCAACAGAGAATTTTGAAAAATTTAAAACAGGAAATAAAAATACACAACTTGTAAAATCTCACCTTATAGCATCATTCTCAAGTTAACCATCAGAAATTTTACAATTTTGGTTTGCATCCTTTACAAACCACTACCTTCTATATACTTCATAGCTATTGTAGTTTTGTGGGATTTCAGCCACTAGTTTCTGCTCCATTGTTGATATCATCAATCCCTAAGGGTTCTCTCCAATAAAGAAATTATTAAACATTCCTGAGTTTGCATCTTAGTACATTACTCATATCATGTGTAGTCAAATGAACGCATCGAACTACTACTGGCATTAGCAAGTAACAACCAAACTACTAGGCTACTAGCTTTGGTATATTCAGATTTAAAGGCATCAATTTATGTACCCAAGTCCCAACTATGAAGGGATGAGCTGCGAGCTTCTGCGCACCCTCAGCTACTTTGGCATGAAACCCTAAATACGGATCCAAAACTTTCAGTGCAATAATAGCACCCTGATTATCAAATACAGGATGAAAAAAATTCGTTCTCTCATACACTTTGGAGTAGGTACAATATTCTAGGTCAAAATATACAGATACTCCATCCGTCTCCCAATTAAGTTACGTGTTTGATTTCACACATATTAAGGAAATGAATTTACTGGAGGATAAATTTTATTGTTTTAACACTGTTGGACACTGTTTTGCACTGTTTTGCAATGTTTGGACATTGTTTTGCACTGTTTGACACTGTTTTGATGTTGATAATTTACCAAATAAGGAAACTAAGGAAGTGTGAACTTAATTTAGGTACTATCCAAAAAGAAAAGTGATAACTTAATTGGGGGAAGGAGGAAGTATATAAGTAGTAAAATTGTGGTGACAGACAAAAAGTTATCAATCTTCATTTCTCAACCATTCACACCATAGGCCTTTTACACCCGCACGGGTAGCTCAGTTGGTCGAGTGGTGGGAAAATTGGACCAAATGACCAAGGTTCGAAACTCGCAACGGCCGTGTGGAGGTTACATAATCTGAAATAAGGTTGGACCTCTGGTACGCACGTGTATAAGGCCTACCGCCGCTTTGCTGACTGAGACACCGTGATTAACCTCCCCACCATCCTGTCGGGTCGGGGTGGGAGGCATTGGGGTTGGGCATTCAACCTTTTGGACCAAATGTAAATGTTTTTACTTAAAAAACACATTTTAAAGTGATTTTGAAAAAAGTAGGGATGACAATGGGGCAGGATTGGGGCGGGGGTTCACTCCACCATCCCCGCTTCGTGTCTAAAAAATCGCCCCCACCCCCGCCACATCCCCCATTACTATTCGACCCGCCCCATCCCCGCCCCGACCCGCTAGACCCACGGGTACCAAACGGGGGAAATATTTGTCAAAATTAACACTATTTTAGACTCAGACATTTTTTTCAAAAATAAAACAACATTTCTAGTATATAGCCAAAAAACCTTTTAGTTTAAAAGTGTCAATGTAATCTTACATCCCATTTCAAATCTAAAACACATTATACGCGTTTTGATTTAGTCATTTTATCAAACACTTTATTAGCATTGATTAGCTCTTTAATACCAGTATTTTCTTATTAAGCCCTTCATTCAATCAACCATTGTCATTTGACAGAACTAGGAATCCACGACGACTTGCGGTCATCAGATTTTTAAGAGCTCTAACTACAATCATAAAGATGTCATTCATAAGAAAAAAATTAATGCACTATATTAGCTTAATGCCTGAAGTGGTTAAGCTAATATCACTTTATAAGTTTCCCAAATTCATTTTACTTTATATGATTTTGATAACCAATTTTACAAGATAGTTGAGTTATTAAACAAGAATTAGATAAACCCATTAGGCACAACCCATTAGATGGGAAACAACTAAACCCACCGGGCCACCATACTATTTTAATTACTTCGTATTAGTAATGACATATTTATGACTAAAATGAAGACTGTTTACATTAATGTGACTAGTGACTAGAGTAGTAATGAAATTATGGTAACTTATGTTCAATTTTTAAACTTAGGTTATTATGACACTACATTGTAGTAACTAATAGTGATATTTATGTAAAATAAATTTTATTTTAGTAGTATTTTGTAAAAAGCCCTTACCCGCCCCACATATTAAGCTAATATCACTTTATAAGTTTCCCAAATTCATTTTACTTTATATGATTTTGATAACCAATTTTACAAGATAGTTGAGTTATTAAATAAGAATTAGATAGACCCATTAGGCACAACCCATTAGATGGGAAACAACTAAACCCATCGGACCTGAATATGTGTGTATTAGTATTATTGTGATTATTATTATTAATTATTAATATCTGTATTAGTATTATGTGATTAATATTAGTATTATTGTGATTATTATTATTAATTATTAATATGTCTATTAGTATGTGTATACGTACGGGGGATTATTAATTAGTATTAGTATTATTGTGATTATTATTATTAATTATCAATATGTGTATTATTAATAGTATTAGTATTATTGTAATTATTACTATTAATTATTAATATGTGTATACATACGGGGGACGGGGCGGGGACGGGGCGGGGACGGGGCGGGGGCTGCATAACCCATCACCTGCCCCATATTTAAGCGGTGAGGAAATAATTCCCCCATCCCCATACCCGCCCCATCCCACCAATCGCCCCAACTCCCCCCATGGGGTGGTTCCCCATGGGCCCCCGCCCCCATTGTCGTCCTTTAGGAAAAAGTGATTCATAGTAAAAGTTGATAGTATTTGAGAAAAAAGTGATTTTGAGGGGGCGAGCGTGCTGCATAAGGCGGCGGTCACCATTCTGGAAGAGAAAGGGCGAGCCCAACCGAAAATTGAGCACGACGGCACTCATGGGGTGAATCGTGTTGCATAAGGCGTTGGTCACCGTCCTGGCAGGGAACAGGTGAGCCCAATCGAAAACGTGGCACGACGGCACTGAGGGGCCGAACGTGCTACATAAGGCGTTGGTCTAGATGAAAATCCATTTCCAAACTTTAGGTCGAATTATGCCGACCAAGATGACACCTCACCTCCAAACCACGGTTTAGATACCCCATTTCGATCCATTCGAAACGGTTCGTTCATACTTATGATTGAGATGACAACTCACCTCCAAACCACAGTTTTGATACCCCCCCCCCCCCCCCCCCGATATACTCGAAACGGTTCATTCATACTTATGATTGGGATGACAACTCACCTCCAAACCACACCTTTGATACCCATGTTCGATCCCCTCGAAACAGTTCGTCCATACTTATGATTGAGATGACAACTCACCTCCAAACCACATTTTTGATACCCCTATTTGATCCACTTGAAACGGTTCGTCCATACTTATGATTGAGATGACAACTCCAAACCACAATTTTGATGCCCCCGTTCGATCCACTCGAAATGGTTCGCCCATACTTATGATTGAGATGACAACTCACCTCCAAACCACAATTTCAATGCCCATGTTCGATCCATTCAAAACAGTTCGTCCATACTTATGATTGAGATGACAACTTCGTGCTCTGTCTCCTTGCCCTCAATTCGGCTAATCCTCACTGTGCGATCAAAGGAGAGAGGGACATGGCCATCAGACTTCCCTACCCTTTGGGCAGGACGCCCCGTGGACTTTTGCACATTTCATGGCCCTTTTGTATGGAGATCGGGTTGCCCTAGTGGGCCCGTGCATACCAGGTTTTCCATGTTAGTGTGACCAGACATCTGTCCTGGATTTCTAGGAGTTCTGTCTTCTTTTCTCTCTTATTTTATTATTATTATTATTATTAGTATTAGTATTAGTATTATTATTACATGGACTCATAATGATGACCATGTTGTGCTAGGGGTGGTCGGCCGAGTATCCGAGCAATGATTCTCATACTTGAGGGGCGGGTATGATCGGGACGTCACATTATGGACGGTCGTTCGACGTATCTTTTAGTCATCTTTATTTGATGACTGGGACTACGTATCATGTCGAGCTACTCACATCTAGAGATTGGTTTCGCCCATCCCCTCAGCAGACGGACACCGTTGCAGCCCCACACCTAGGCCGAAGGGCTCACTCCTTTCGCTTCATTTTGGGGGCATCCGGTGTACTCTTTTTTCCTCATTAGGATTTTTTCCCACTAGGTTTTTCCTAATGAGGTTTTTAACGAGGCATCTCTCCATTGTGGATCAAAAGGTGTCGACCTTCAGCCCCTATTGAAGACATGCATTACTATACACCTTTTCACCTCATTACACGTGCCTCAAGGAGTGAGGGACTGAAAGAGCGGGGGACTTAGCGCCTCCGTCACCAGAGAAGCATGAAATTCAAATTCTTCACAAAGATTGCCGCATGAACCGGCGACAACCTCACATCATATGCAGATTCAATTGCCACAGCAACAAGCACATACATATAGCCCCTCAGCCCCAAGACCGGTTGTGATCGTCTCGGCCTGCGACCTTCCACTGAGGATTCTCCCACATGGTTGCTTCAGTCAGGGCTCGCCAATGACATTGGATCACCAGCTTGGAGAATCCGAGCGAGGCGCCTCAGTGACGCCAGAAGTTTACTCCACCAGACGACGACAGATCAGTACATAGCTCTACTCCCTTTCGCCTCGAGTATTCTCGACTGAGGGAGTGGGGGCTCCTGATAGAGTATATGGACTTGGACCCCCTGTCTCATGATTATTGGGTCCGGACAACGGCCCACGTACGTTCAGTAGATAGCATTTATCTCATTGTACACTCTATTTATTCATATGTACCCATTAGAATAGATTCAACATCATTTTTAGCTATTTATTGGCTTTTTATTGTAACTGGGCCTGTCGGGCCTAAACTTGGAAGCCTAACCCACTTTTATCCTATAAATACTCCCTATGCGAGCCATGTAAAGGATTAAAAAATTCATTCATACATATCACTTTATCTATCTAGCTCTCTCTTCTGTCTAGATAAATAATCTATCAGTTATTATTGTACGTTCATTCCATTGAAATTAATTATGAATAGTTTTACGTAGTATTATTATAGTCATTATTTCTACGGGTATTATCCCTTAATAGGATTAAAATTAGCCCAAAATTCAACAATAGGAGTACAATCATTTTATTTCTTAAATAGGACTAATATATAATATCCCTTCTTACCATTCTACCCTTTTCCTATAATTTTCAATAGATTTATTTTATCAATAAGAAAATCATAGTTTTATTTTTAATAAAAATATAAAAAATAATAAAATTGATGGAGTATATGGCCCGGGAACCCCCGACCCACAGACTCCTACTACACCAATAAAGGCCCAACCGGCCTAGGAAGCACAGCAGGCCCAAATTACGGCGCCCCTGGCCGAAGGCTCAAAACTCTCACAGAACAGGTTTTTCAAGCAAACTAAGAAACTGGGAGAAAAACGGCAGAAAACAGTAGCCCTCGGCACCTGGAGCCCTCGCTACCCAGGGGGTCCCCGGCACTCAGATCCCTCGGCTAGTCCTCTGCAGCCGAGGGCACCTCTCCCGACATAATATCCGCACCACATGCGTACAGATCACCGTACC